GGTCGGTATTTCAGGGTATTTTCAAACGGTATCGGACTGGAGCCTCAGCTTAACTTGAAAAAGCTTAAATTAAGAAGGTATTTTTCCCTAGCTTAAATCCAGCAGACACTTCACGTGGGGTTTATCCGATTTACAGCAATCGTAGTGCACTTTTTTCAAAATCATAAACTTCGTGATGATGGAATAACTGTTTCGCAATATTCTTCCTTCTGTAATTTTCCGGGCAAGAACTGCTATCCTCCAGCCATACAAATCAATTCAGCAGAGAGACTTGAACTCGTTCAAATCTCTTGATTCTCGAAACTTGCTTCATTTATGAAACTCGATAAAAAACTAAGTACGGTACAATATCTATAACTTTGGTCGATACAGCAAAAGGAGAGGCGCTCTCTCCCAATGCTTCCGTGAAATTTTTTTATGAGCTGGTTTCCTAATTTTTGGCATATGCGGGTCAGGAAATGAGCAAATGATTGAAATAGTTTTTGCGTGAAGTCATCAGATCAGGGCAGTCCAATGAAAACACTCGAATCCATGGTCAACAGTTTTGTACAGTATTTAGGTTCACTACAGTCTCACATTTATGAGCAGTCTATGCTCACAATTATATAAAACACCCGTATCATACACACCGCCGTGGGGTTTCATCTGTAAGAACCTAATTTTTACCCATTTTCAGAATTTTTTGGGAATATAAGACTTTTTCAACCATCAAATCACTACCCAAGAACCAGGTGCAACCTGTAGTTTCGTGGGGCCAGAAAATCGCTTGAATATGGCATTTCCTCGCATATGAAAGAAGACCAACTTCAAAACGAAAGCTGAGGTTTGGCATTTCGACCTACTGCTGAATGGCGCTGGTGCCTCGTCGAGATTTTTCGAATAATTCAGTCGTGGTATTCGGTTCGTGGTTCTCTAGTGTCAAAAAAGCAAGAAAAAAAAAACCTGCAATATAAACCACACCACAATGCATTCGAAGAATTAATTCCCCCGTCCGGTGCTTCGCGCACGAACAATGGTTGCCTCTGCAGACGAGCTCGAAGATATGGATTATGCGGGTTACTGACCCTGGTGAGCAACCTTATGACAGCTCGTTGACAAAACTGTCGACGTGTTGGACTCGGAATTCTGTCACTGCAGGACGGTTACGTAAGATACGGTAAATAAAACATGCATTTCGCGGTTCCTCGCTAATTTCTTCCGCCGTCGAAACCGCTGCTTGGATTTTTTAGCAGCCTCGCCAGCACACAGCAGAAACGTGCCGTGTAAACTGGGATTTTGCCCGGAGCCTATTTGGCGAACGAACTCCGACTTTTCCGCGATTCGACCATAGGACAGCGAAAACGTACCGATGTGATTTATTTATTAGCAAGGTAGAATGCGAATTAACGTCTTATAAGTTTTAAGGCGTAGCATATACATACAAATTTTCAAGTTTTTCTGGACGAATTCTGGGCACGTTGAATCTTTCTTTTCCAAACTAAAACCTTTTCTATCACCCAATGTCAAGAGATAAGGTGTAATGTGCCCTCTACATCAGTGTTCCCCAACCCGTGGTCCGCGGACCGGCACCTGTCCGCAGAAGTTTTTGCCGGTCCGCGGGAAATTTTCAGCATAATAATTTATCGAAAGTTGGGATGAAGTCTTTTCTCTTTACCTACAATTTTTGAAGGACAATGGCAGTTGAATTATCTGATGATAAAAAAAGTTGGCTTTTCTCCTAATAACACTTCAGACAAATTTTCACCTGCTAAAATGAATAATTTCAATTTTTCATTCTAAGAACCTCTCTCCGAGCCCACCTTTCCAATTGTTTGATGACATTCTTAGCTGAATTTTTCTTGTAAATACCTGCCTAATAATATTCAAGCAAAACTTGGTGAGTCTTAAAAAATTTCATGAAACTTTGCTGGTCTGCAGAAAATTTTTTGGGAATTTGTCAGTCCGCAAACATTTTTTTTTTTATTTGCTGGTCCGCGGGCCCAAAAAGGTTGGGGAACACTGCTCTATAGTACTGTATGCAAATAATCCATTTAATTTTCCTCCTCTCAAATTAGTGCATAAATTCGATTCTTGAAATTTGTGGGCCGCGTTTGGCAATTAATTGAGGTTCACGCCAATGCACGGAAAAGCCTGGTGCATATTGGGCGGAAACAAATCCAACTGAAAAATTTACACAACATTACTGTATGTCACATATTTTCGTAGAATAAGCTTACCGAAACGCTTAACTATGATCTGAGCTGCTGAATGCAGAGAGCGAAATTGCGAGAAAGCCTCCGGCAATCTTTTTTCTCGCCGTATTCTTCAAAATTTAATTTTACTTCAACCATAATCAAATCGAGTGATTTTTATGTACATTTCGTTGATTTTGGTACAGCGTAGTCTCATCTGATAGAATTGAGTTTCATGATCATCATGCCTCGGATATACGGCAAATTCAAGACCAAACTTCTCCTCAATTGGAATGTCTATGAAATCAAGGCTTAGAGTTTAAGAATCGAGCAATTTTCACTTGATGTGACGAGGTTATATATGTAGAATATTTTGTGAAAAAGATACGGTAAATCTCATGAAGATATGGCAGAAGTGGGACTGAAGGACTCACTACAGCAGCCAATCTCGTTATCGCCGTAAAGCCTCATGCGCAGTAAAATATTTTGTATTTCTACCGGGGCTCATCGTCATCGAGCCATGTCAGGTCTTTAAAACACCGGTGAGGTGATTCTCCTCCTGCATTACTGCGCTATTTTCGATGGAATGCACATTCGGGGAAATGGCGAGTGGAAAAAAAAATAGGCAGAACTCATTTCAGCGTGAATTCATCGTCGCCAGGAACCCGTGAAGAGCTCATTAAAGCGGGCGAAGCAGGACAGAGATGAAATGCCTGCGAGCGGCGAGAATGAAAGAGAAAACCCGCGACGCCGTCGGCGTTTCATTCCGCTTCTCCGGAGTCCACGCATGCGGGCGGGCTATAACGGGAGGCCTCATTTCCTGATCACATCAGGTTTTACTCCATCTTGGCGTGTATTTAAAGTTCTTCTCTGCTGCTCCCTTATCCCCGGTAACTGTTCGGATGATGCGGCTTAGCGTCCGAGTCCCTTGTTGCACAAGGGCCGTCTCTCGCGTTCGGGATGATCGAGCCCCGGGAGCAGGTCCTTTCACGGCCCGAGAATGCGTTCTCCTGATGGTATACACGCACTGAGTTCCCCTATAATACTGTATGCTGTAAAGTCGAACTTGAAGATACCAGCAAAAAAAACGAGTGAAGGAAGTTTGTAATGCATTATTTCTAAGGGAATTCGGACAGGGCATTGAAAAAGAAATTTGACATTAAATAGAATTTTTTGACTTAAAGATAGAGTTTCTTATTGTTATTAAGGTATAAGTTATGCGCTGCATAGCGTTTTTACTTCAGTTCGATGCACGCGCTTACCTTAGATTTCAGTTATCAAAAATCCCATTTGAAAACTTTCGTTGGGTGAAAAGCTAAATTGAAACTCAATTTAAAATCGAATTCAATGGCGATTTTTTTGTTTCACACAAATAATATACTGTAGTATCATTAAAATGGAGAATTAAGAAAATAATTGAAAATGGGGAGAAAAGTTGTTTCAATTTTTTTAAATGTACTTTGACATTTTTGGACCCGAGTATGACGCGTACTTCATTTTTGCCCCCAATTTATTCGAAAAAGGTGCTTGTGCTGGTACTTGAGTAAACACATTACGGTATTTTTATGGATCACTTCGTCTGTTCATATCAACAGTAGCTCTCAAACTGTGTTCCTTTCTCTGAGCAAGGATATTCCGCCTGCACAAGAAGGATGCTATAAAGGAATTTTTTATTTTAACGGGCATTTCATGCAAGTTTCGATACTTCGAAACCCACAGAAAATGTGCTGACCATTCCGGTGCGATAAAAAAAAAAGATTTTTCAATGCAGAAGGGTTTGACAACCCTGTACTTCAAAAAGGATCCGAGAGCCGATCTAAAAGGATAAAAGCCTTAGAAACATCCAATTTAATTCAATATGCTACTACTGTGCGAGATCATTTTCTTCCAGAACAGTTCGAGTACCCGACTGACAAGAATACCCGAACGCCGCATAAAACCAGATCACCACCATGCAGCCGGTCACCCACATCCCTAAATTGGGTTTCCGGCTGTACCTCCTTCCTCTTCTCGTGCCCATGCACTATACGAACCGTCTGTAAATTCGGCGGAATTAACCTCGAAAGGGAAATACCGTACGATGATTTTCTTCGCCCGGATGAAAGTGAAGAATGAGAACACTGATCGTCTTCGAGAATAATCCAAGGTTCGGCAGTATATACAGTTCAGTAAAACCCCTTTAAGGCGCCCCCAATAAGCCGCTGCCTTCAACAATCGCCAATTTGTTCGAAAAATAAATCTCCCTTAATGTTGATAGCATTGCAAGCTCCGTTAGAAGGCCATCCGCCAAAATTTTCAACTAAAATGCGCTCCTGCCCATTAATTTTGTCTTCAATAACCCGCCAACAAGATTCAAGTTTCTGTAACCAATTAAAACAACACGAACACGAAGATGACGGATTTTAATTTTTGGGAACATCAGCTAGGTATAATCAACGAATCCCAGGGTTATTTAGACTGTTTTCCAAAAGAATAAGAATCTGAAATCCCATTGTATTCGATTTTCATGTTATTTTAGTTTTGCTGTTAAGTCACCAACCCCGTTGAACCGCCACAAAGAAATGGTGGCGTCTTATCGAGGTTTGACTACTTACCATGAAGAAAATCTATAACTAGTGGAGTCAACATATCGACGTTCTGATTCGGAACCCTGTGAGTTAGCTGTTATTCCTGCCCCAACACGATTGATTCAGCCAGGATAATCTTCGTCAGTTCGACGCATATCAATTGTTAGTTGGAAACTCGCGAGGCAATTACAGAAGCTTATTTTTCATTTCCTCCGAACGATCGGAAGATAGCAGCGTTGCCCGAGAGTCAACGACAGTTACCCTACGCTGGGAGAATCATTTGCGACTTGCTCCCTCGATGATTCCACGACGTGGACAGGAGGGCGATGAGCTGCGGTATGTGGGTCACTCGGTGTCGGTCACCGAAAAGCCCCGTCCCTACTCCGACTTCGATTTGAAAAGATAAAAAATGTCCGAAGCACACTGCAGGTGCAACAGGAATTCGCCAGCAACACGCAATATGTTACGTCCTGGTACTTGAATTCACAAACCTGGAGGCCCTCTGTGAGCTAATTCGTTTATAACCGATTACTGACGCACAAGATGGTCATGCGAATGCTGACACCTCTTTCCATCAGCAACTGAACCACGTCGACGAACTGCTTCCTAAGAAAAGAAAACCCTCTTATATATCCTCATATAATTTTACGAGAATTACACCAGCTACTGACAATGCTTCTTTACTTCATTGTTGAACTGCACCCATATCTTCAAGATATATTACGTACTGCAACTGCAATAGCATTCGCACTGACCAATCTCTTCGCAGAACCATACAGTATAGCAAATAGAAAGTACATAGATTACGGTATAGGCAACGATTCGTAATAACTCGGATAAAGGCCAAAAGTGGTAAAGATTCAAAATTTTTTTGAAAATGAAAATACGTACATCGGCCTGAAGGGATACAAATTCAAAAAAAGAAAAATTAAAAATGGTCCGACACGAGAATGGATCGTTGAAGAATGTCGATTCCAACTTAGAAAATGTTCGCCTTCAATGCGTTGGCGAACTTAAACCAGATGCGGACTTGAGCAGCGCATCAGCTTCTGAAGAACCTTCTTATGATTGAGCGGCTGCTTCGAAAGAAAGTAACGCAAATTATCTCAATGCCTTTTTTTCCAATCCGCAACACAACCCCAATTTGAGAGACTTTTCTTTGGAATGACGTATTCCACAAATATGGTTTACATGAGAATTACCCCCAAAACGAACGCTGAACATTGGAAACACATCGGTGCATAGAAAATACGGAGATCACATCACAGCAAATCGTAGAAATAGTCCATCCCTTGTCCCAACTCCCAGATGGCAATGCCGACTCCAAGATTCTTCGCTAATTCCAAACGCTGGGATAGCGACCATATTGTCGGGTAAAATACGGTATGTTTTCCTTCGCGGGTTCTGGAGAGGTAGGAAAATGTAAAAATGCCAGATATTTCACCGGAACTCAAAAATCGATCCCTCGACTCACCTGTACTCGAAAAAATGCTCCATGGAATTATCGTCATATGTGACTTTGGCTTTCACGGTACCCAAAATTTGCAGGAGCTGACTTCCGAGGATTGGCCCACCTCCCGTTGGCGTGTAATCATAGCCGTAGAAATTAATTCCCATCAAAAGCTTGTCTCGGCAATCTTTACCGAGCTCATCCGGACACAGGTTCCGCACGCAAGATTCTGCCCAACCCACGGGACTGTTGGGCCCTGAGCGTGAATATTTTTCAATGCATTCATTATTTAAAAAAAGCAACAAAATCTTACGTTCCACCCACCTGGATTAATCGGACTGGAGTAATCGTATGTCATGATGGAAAACGCATCGAAACTGTAGCGGAGCTTCTCGAAATCACTCTTCGAGAAAGATCCCGGCCCCGACTGAGACGACGGCGTCGGCGGAATCGCCAAAATGACCATGTAATTGTCTTTCTGCATACTTCGACCAAAATTTACCAAGAAAGTCACAAGGTCGTCTTTCAAGCTCGGCGGGGCTTGACGCCATATTTCCAACACAATGCCGTCCATTTTGTGCAACTACGATAATGAACACACTTCAATTCACCGAACAAAAATATTGCATAGCAGTAAGTTATAGCTAATTGTATAAGTCATGAACAAAAATTCCCTCATTCTTTCATATTAAAAAAATCTCCTCATGAGTCCTTTACCAAAAGTCATTTGATTTCAACGCACGAACACAGAAGATTTCATGCCGAGCAATTATTTCCTTCATATTTTTTCTCCGCGCCCCACCGGTTGAAAAGCTTTGACGAAGACCACCGACGAGTAATGTTCCCTTTTCAAATCTTAACCTTTCCTTAAAATGATATTGGGGCAGATTTCAGAGATTGATTCACAATTGGCAATGCACTGATACCTCTTGACTAAAAAAGAACAAAACTCACGCTGAAGTATAAGAGCACTGGTACTTTTTTTGCCATAATATTCCAGAACCCCCACGGTACACAATTGTTCGATACTAGTAGGCATAACAAATTTAAAGAACTCATCACATTTTTACGTGATTCGTTGCAACATCAAGTAATAAAATCCCCTTTTCAAGTGAACGAAATCCTGCCGAGAAAGCGACATGAAAAAAGAACGAGTGCGAAAGAATACGTCAGATGCTTTCTCACATTCAATTCCAAGTTCTGTGCACCATTCGTATCAGGCTTCAAGCTCACCTTCCTCGTAGAAAACGTCGAATAAGTAAACTTCAGCTTAATTATTCGAAGTGCATAGTTTTGAATCGCACCATAAATTAGTACTGCGCAGTACAGCATTTAATAAACAAATATATAATGCTCCCAGCGCTGGTGCGTCGAAGTCGAGAACAGTGTGACTCATGTTCGCATTAATACCGTTATGGATACTCAAGAGGTCTTACACTTAAGCCGTTCTTCATGGTAGTTATGAAGTCGGCTTGCTCTTCACGATTACCAAAAAGCTTGACGAAGTCGTCAGATTTCCATTTGTCAATCAGAATACGAGGCACGACCTTGAGCTTATGTTTCTTCCCCCTTTGATGAAGTAGCTCCACCCAACCGGCATCTACATCATGTTGACCCTTCAGAACGTATTTCCCATTCGATCCACAAGCAACCTGCAGCCACACTGGGGATACGAAAGAAAACTTGGCCGAGAACAGTTTGGCAACGTCATACCCGTGACTGTTCCACTGCAAAAAAACAAACAATTATTTTCCTCCAGTCCAAAAGAAAACTGTGCATGATTAAAATACTGGAGTAACGTAGCCAAGGGAAATTCCAGGGAAATTCTTCGTTCCGACGCGCTTATCGTAAGCGGAACCGCGGGTGAACACATCGGCAGCTTTAACCTTTTCCGTTAGCAATCCGAGTTCCACCACCGACTTGTCCACCGCTCCAACCTGATGTGAAAATATAAATGAAAAGTGAAAATATTTTCTCGATCATGTCTAGAACAACTTACGATCTGCTTCAGGACTTTCTTGTCATCCTGAGATAACGTGGCCACGGCTAACTCGATGATCACGGATGAAATGATCAAGACGACGGAGCCCCGCATCGTCGCTAGGAATCACAGATAGAATACGAAGCAGATCAGTCTCGAAGGGAACGACGAATTCGCAGTATCGAAGCGGAGTTAATTGAATCCCGCGGGAAGTAACTTTACAAACTTTATTCATCCTCATCTGTAGCGATGTTACTCGAGTCGCAGAGTTTTTTTTTGTTTTCTTTCAATTCACTCTCCATGACGGAGAAAAGGAAAAGGCAAAACACAATTCGAATCCTCCCTCCACAAAACCTTATGAAAGCCACTGATAGCAGACACTTGGAATATAGATAGGAGGAAATGAAAACCGCGCTCAAGTGCCTTCCGGCTGTCCACAAAAAAACCGGCGGACGAAGAATAATGAGCAAGATTAGAACAAACTTGTCATCGGTACAAAAGAGAAGGTGGTACTAGCGGGGATCGGAGTATTTGTGCGGGATGCAATCCTTCTTTATGCGAGGGGGAAAAGTAACTACCGACTTGAAATCTGGAAAAGCCTTCTTCTGGTAACCGACATTCGTTCTCGGACAACGTGAGGGCAGAATAGCCGAGAGCGCGAGAAGAAAACCACGCATGGACGGACAAAGACCTTGTTTTGTAATACCGCACTTCTTACCGAGCTGCTCTGCCCTCGTTGAGCAGTTTAGTTCGTGTTCAAGAGTATTTCGGACAAGAACAAACCACAGTCTTATCGAGAGGATTCTCTTCACTCAGATACCACGCTCAGATCCAAACAGTTGCCCGGGGAGTGGAAACTTGTCCGCGTATCGACTAAGGCATGCTAAGGCAAGATAGAACCTTCCGATTCCGCGGGAGTCTCTTTGGCAGTGCTTACGAACCAGAGGCTACAGAACCGGCTCAGAGAAGGTTTCAGATTCGATGCTAACCACAGAATATCGTTCAATCCTCCACACATTTTTCATTACCTCATTGAGCAAATCCAAATTTTTTACTCGGGCTCTCGCGCCCACATCACCATTGAATGAAGATGAAACAACCGAAGACCACCGCGGTCGGTACTTCTACCAGGACGGTCTCGGGATCTTGGCAAGAAAACGTTTCTTTCTCTCATGAGTTTCATCGTTCGTTCCCCAATGCGAAGTATTGCTCCAATTCAAGGAACCTCTGTGCACGAGCGAGCAAGTGACAACTTTGATCTCTAATAGCACCACAAAAGCAGGGCAGGAGGAAAATAAAAAGAACCCTCAGCACAAATGCCCACCGCACCTCTTCTAGACTCGGGTGTTTGTGAGCCAGTCTTCACCAACAAAAAGCTGAAACAGAGCACTGATCCGCGCTTAAACTCCGACTCCGTCAGTTCAACCGAGACCAGAACCGCGGAAAAAACAACACCGACAGACACTGTACAATCCGAGGGAAAACGCCAACACGGCACGGAAACCAGACCAGACACGAGAGTTAACATAAATCCCAATTTCTCTGTAATCATTCTCACACGCGCCCTGGATGGCCCTCCCCTGAAAAAAAAAAATTAAAACGTTTCCGTCGTAATCCTCCCATGACTGCTGAACGAGAAAGCCAGTTTTATCACGAAAAAATCAACAGTGCCGTTCGGGAAAACTTACAAAACGTAAAAAATAAACCGGGCACGGCAAAGCGGGACAGATGGAAACATATCCCAGTCGACGCCCACGCCGCAGGGCACGAACTTGAGCACTCCCCCACCGTCCACTTGCTACACAACCTCCTTCCGTCGACTCTCACTTCACACCTCCCCAATCGGCTCTCAAGCTCGCCCATCAAGAAGGAAACCAACGTCGTATTACCTCGGCCACAACGGAACCGAAAAAAAAGCCATAAAACATTGTCAAAACGCTATCGAGCGGAATCTGACACGATTGCAAAACAAACTACAACGCAGTCTCTTGTAAGATGGTAAGAAGAATAAGGAAGGGGAAAGAGCACGCAGGAAATCAGAGCAGAAAAAATAAGGAAACAGAAAACGAACCGAACGCTCGGAGAATTCCAACAAACACCGCGGAAGACGTGGACTCGAAGTCCAACCACAGAATAAACGTTTCCTTCTTATCCATCACAAAGATCCTCACCTAAAACGTTCCGAACGGTCGCAATGAACCGAAAGCTAAAATAAAATCGCAGCGGGAGATTAAATCATACAAGGAGCAAGGCATTCTGTGGCACAAAACGAATCGCACGATTCTCAACCAAAGCTATTCGTTTCCCAACATCAAATGTATCACTCTCCGCCTCAGACTCGTCAACTCTCTTCCCAGCCTCCCAACTCGTGACACTGAACACATTTCCTGTACCGCCAAGCTTTCCGATTCCAACCATGCCTTTTTCCACGTGGACGAAACAAACACGAAATGCCGATTCAACTGGAATTCCGACGCGCTCAATTCGGTTCGGGCAGAGCAAGCAGAGGCCGTTCGAGAGGAAACACAGAAAGGAAAGTAAGACTGCTCTTACGTCCTTGGCCATCCATTACAATACAATATCACAGCGATCACAGTTCTTCATGAGAAATAACAACATTCTCGCGGCGCCCCGCCGACACTTCGTCCGTCTCCTGCTCCTTCTTCTTTATCCTCCTCGTCAGTGCCGACTGGCTGCGATCCCGCATGGTCACTCTTACTGCGTTGATCTCGGGTAAAAAAATAGTAAGGTGGAGCCCGCCCGACGCAAAAACAACCCGGAGATGTCCTGTAAATTCTACACCAACACACGCAGTGAATCGCAAGCGGAAACGGGAGCAGGTGGAGGACACCGATGCCGGGGAATCGTACGCAGCAATCCCAACAAAAAATTCACACTCACAACACCGGGGTGACGACAAAAAAAAACCTGAACAAAATTATTTGATTTCCAGCTCAGCAAAAAGTGTCCTCACGTAAAAATAAACAAAACAGCGACGGGCGATTGAACAGGGTGCGTCGAGATTCGGCGCCAAGCGGCCCTACAGCGAAAAACGTTCCAGTCCGTCTCCCAACACGTCCCTCAACGTCCCCTCATCACAGACAGTCAAACGCACGTTAATGCCGTTTCCGTTTCTCGCAACCGTTAGTCGGCCGACTCGCGGCAATTCTTCGTTCTGCCTGCCTTCCATCATCGGCGACTCACAACCCTCGGAACCTCTTTCAACCCTCCACTCGTCCTGCTCAGCACTCCCGAAAAGCCAAATAAACGCACCGCACCGCTCTCCCGTCCACAAAGCAACAAATGCATTCAGGATGAAAGTATAAGTTCCCATATAAAACACCACTCATTCACCGCTCAAATTTTGATTCTAGGGTCTAGAGAGCACTTGCTTGATTTCCTTTTCCTAAACCGCCAGAACGACGCTGTTCGTTATCACCTGAAGTAACGAAAACATGCCCAATAGCGGAGGAAGAGGCCTAGCTTTTTTAGCGGCCGCAAGGGCACTCAATTTCAGGAGAGAAAAACGGGGAAAAGCCGCTGGTCGCAGACCGACATGAGCACCCTTTTCACCACAGACTAGATTTCCACACGAATTTTCAAGTCTTCCAGCTCGGCCGTGTGAAGCAGCAGTGTTTTTGTTTCAGTACAACAGGGACTTCTTTCATCACACCAATCTCTCGATGCGGGCCGGGCGCCAGGTGCTCCACAGTCACGGCTTCATGTCCCATTCACGCACCAACAAAAAGACCTGCATACAAAAACTCAACGCCAGCAGCCAGGAAGTTCCGGACTGGAAGATCTAGGAGTTTAAGGTCCTTCGGACAACCGAACGGTGAAAATGATGCAAGTGTCTTGAGTCAGCGAACACTGGAGACTCCGCGTTTGAGAACCTTGTTTTCGGGTAGAGTTGCTCTGAACCGCTTTGGATTTATCACGGTAGTGCCAGAACGACGGCACATTACAAGAGCTTTGATCGAAATAAAAAGAGCCTAGCACCAGATTCCGAAGCACCTTGCGGTTATCCCTTGCGTTTTGATTGCTGGAACTCGGCGTGTGTGTATCATTCAAAGCTCAAGGAGGACGTACGACTCGGGATCGTCGCCTGGCTGGCGCGGAGGGTGCGGGTGGTTGAAGTGTTGGAAGTAGGGCGTGGATGCAGAAACCGCATGGCGCTGTCCGGAGTCGGCCACAACAGACTGTTGCGTGTTCGGGCCGCCACGTGGCTGGAACGGCTGCCGAAAACCCGAATTACCGGCCGAGCCGCCGTCCGACGAGCTGTTTGAAAGTGGGCTCCGAATGGACGGTTGGGACGCCGAGGACGCGGGCGAAGGCGTCGGAGTGGCCGTTGGAGACGGCGAGCAATTCGTCGGCGACGGCGTGTGCGTCGCACCGTTTCCAGTGTGTTCCACGGGTGTTGCTGCGCGAAGCTTCCCGCGGCGTCGATTACAGCCACCTTTCTTCACGTGTCGATCCAAGTACGACTGTGCAGTGAACTCCTTGTCACACCAGTGGCAAGGGAACAACGCTTTCGGTCCACCAGGTTTCACGGCCTTCGGCTTCCCCGTGCTTTTTCCGCCACGCTGACGCCTAACACCAGCCACGCGAGAGCCCAGACAATGCAGCTCCACTGCCGTTGCACCGTCCCGTCCGTCCCTGCCCTTGAGAAACGTCATAAGCTTCACCTTGGCGTCCGGCTCAATTTGGTACAAGAACGGCACCACGCCTTTCTTCTTCTTGCCAGCAACGTTCTTCGAGTGCGCCTCACGGATGTGTTCATACACTTTTGGCCTATAGTAGAATTTCTTGTCGCAGAAACGGCAGAAGAACCGAGCGATGCCCAAATGGAAGCCAAAAAGGTGGTCCGCGAATCCTTGTCGGTCCACGCAGACCGTCGTGCAAATGGAGCACTCGTAACGTCCGCGTTCCACGACACGTGCTGCACTCTGGATCGCTGAGTCTTCAAGATCCCCCACCTCCGATCCTCCAGTTCGCTCATTCTGTCCAACCGGCACACCTCCGCCTCCAGCTACTCCCGTGTCTCCGCCTGACTCACTCAACCGCTTCGACAAACGCTTCCTGTTCACGACACCACTGCCACCCTCGGCTCCCATGTGACTAGCCGCTCGCTGCTACGGGATAGAGACGAAATAAGAAAACGATTAATAAGTTCCTTGCGAAAAACAATCCAATTACGTACATTATTCCTGACACATTTGCATTATTTTTCCCACTAATGAGCAATTAAAATTGGCATCACTCGCCTCAGAATACCCACCAGTTTCAGCAATGTCCTTCACAACCTGAGAAGAAACCTTTTTGAAGCGATTTCCCCACGAAATACTACATATACGCCTAAGGTATAGGCTGTGAATATACTGTACTTCGATTCAAAACACACAATTCAAGATCTGTTGATACTTTTCAACAAAATATTCACCGTAATCCCAAAATCCGTAAATTTCTTAGAAAAGGACGTTCCCAAGAGGTAGAAAAATAATTCCGGAATACGTTCTCATCCTTTCGCACATTGAACACTAGATTTGAGAAAAGTTGCATTTTTTACCGATTTCTGGGTAAACTAACGGAATACATGCAGTGGACATTATTTTGCTTTGCAGTAATGTATTTTAAAAATGATGACCAATCAAATGCTGTTTAAGGGTGGCAAATTCTGGGTATACGACATTCATAAGCAAGTATTGTTCGAAAAAGAGCCACCCACGTATTCGAATCCAACTACTGTACACATTTTTTTTACCGCGAAACGGATCAATCCGAGTTACAATAACCACCTGAACAGCGGTAAAGCTTCGATGATAATATAGGTACCGTATTTTATTTGAAATTGACGACCTTATTCGGTCACAAACCCCGTAACTTAAAATCATTGCACTGCACTGAATTGAAGCGCACAATTATGTTTCGAAAAATTACAGTATAACACAGATTATTCATGCTTTGATCAAAAATACCAAAATGTAAACTCATGGGGGAAAAAACAAAAGCTATCGAGGGCATTTCATATTTTAGCAGCTCAAGTGGAATAAATAGCCGAGAAAAGGCCCTTACAAATCTTCGGGAACTCACTAAATTTATGGTCACATCATCCTTGTTTTTTCTTCATTAAAAATTTCGAATACTTGTGATTCGATCAACCGTAACATTGATTACATGCGCGGAGACGTCCCTTCATTCACTTCGGATTCATGATGTCTTTCAAAATTTGGTGAGCTACCAAAATGACTTCCCTTCATTCCCTTCGGATTCATGATGTCTTTCAAAATTTGGTGAGCTACAAAATAGACGAATGCGCTTCAAGACAAAAAAATTTCAAAACATTCCAACAGATAATACTGCAAGAATAAATATTTAATAATTGTCCCGTAATATGCATAAAAAAGGATCGATATTGCCCAGTAAATCAAGAACTACAAACGCAGGGGATCCACGAACTTTCTAATTGCGAATTGAAATCTCAAAGAGGCGCGGTGAACAGATCAGCTAGACCTTTAAATTCAACAAATTAAGCACAAGTACGATGAGGACTTATTCCGGGTGCTATAGCACAAACGCGGTACAAAAGCCAAACATGCATTCCAGCCAAAGGTTTTTGCCAACTCAAATCGTCGGTGACATACGATGCTTCGCGAAAGCAGCAACCCTGTTCACGTTGACTACAGTTTCCCGAACGCTATACGTCACACGGCGAAATGAGCATTTGAACCTCAATCCATGATTGTCGCCATAAATTACCCACGCAGCATCATTAGTCGCCCCGGCCATTGCACAGCACTTCCTCGCACTATCAGTTTCCCATGCAACCCTTCATCAGACGCCATTATCAGTCCCTCGCATCAAGTGCTCCAGTACAGTCGCTACTTCCCCAGCAGCAGCGAGAATGGTCGCCCCGGACATTCGGCAACATTATCACATCGCGACAGGAGCTTCCTCACGATCAATGGATGAAGAAACACTCGCGACCGCCCCCGTTCACCACAATACCAACTCCTGCGCAGCTCTATTCTTTTTTCTTTTCATCTATTCGCACCGGAAAAAGACAAAGGCTGGAATAGTCAGAGAACTCCCGAGGTCTGTGAACACTTTCCAGCAGCTGGTCTTCCATGAATTATACACACACGTGCCAGACGTTCGGACCATCAGTATTCCGGCCCACAGCCCACCGCACGTCATCAGTCTCGACGTCTCGGAAATGGCGACCGCCAAGAATCCTTAACGAAACCCTCACAAGCACGAGACCCAATTGATTTGATATCTTTTTCAAACACGGGAGTACATCCAGTGAACAAACGTAATTGATGGTATTCACTCGCAGCAGCAAACATCAGCGCGAGTTCATGAACTTCGAAAAAAAAAACCTAGACCAGTCTTTAAGATTACGCTTCAAGAGCCTTATTAAATAAATAAATAACACAATTATGTCCACGGACTGCGCAAGCTCCACTGACAGCAGGCGATCTTAAATTACGTAAGCGCAAGTAATACAAGTGGACTCTCTCCGCAACAAAATGCAAGGGACCAGAAAAAAATGCGTTGTACAGAACCCCTATAAAATGGCGAGAGAACCCTGTAGGACTAGAATAAAATTAGTCAACAGAGAAAATTGTTGTAGAGCGTCTACCTGTATTACAGAGATCGTCTCCCCTAATTTCATCTTCCATGACACAAATATGATACCAAGAGTCAGAAGCATTGGCATGCAGAAAGGCGCCATGCTAGACAAAGCAAAAAAAAAAAAGAATTCGGCTGAACAACCCAGAAAAAACTTCGCCGGGCCACATTTCCGCCGAGAACAGGGTTGTACAGAATTTACCGTCTTGCAGCAAGGCTCCGCCATCTCAGGCGGTAATCCGGACAAGCGAGAGAGCATTTTACACGGAACGGAGATAGACAGAAAGATGGTGTGGGGATGCGAAGGGGGAAAAAAGAAAAAGAAAAAATGCGAGTCAGCCTGCCACGAGCCTGAAACCCGGAAAATGTTTTTCGAGCCGCGAGGATGAAGGAAAAAAAAAAGAAACAGGAAATGCAAAAACATTCTTCAACTGACTCTAAATGTAAAAAAAAAGACACCATTTCTCGTCATCCTCCATCCAACTGTCTCCAAGCTTCATTTGTCACTACATGGATGCATGCATGGAGGAGCCTTCTATAAAACATCGAAGGACGAAGGAACATAGATCATCACATCCTCTGGTCCTGCAAACGAAGGAATGCATGAAATCATGCGGAAAAGGGACATTCGCAGAATACTGCGTTTCCATAAACAGATGAATAAAGCCAAGAATGATGCCAGAACATTCTGCCAAAGGAAGAGACCGCGAACGGGGACGAGCAGATTAGGGTCACCGACGAACGGTCGGAGAGAAACTAAAACCAACAGCGACATCGGGTGAGGTCAACGAGTGCTCCGGCGAACTCTCCATTCCTTTTGGAAAACTTCGGGGAAGCCCGCGTACCGACGCATTATTCATTAAATTACCAACAAATGCCCGTTCGTTTTACAATGCTTATTCGAAGGTAAGAATCTTGGATTCGGTAAGAGGTAAGAATCCAAGGTAAGAATTTTTGCGATCAACAAGTGTCGCCATGACATGCAGAAGAAATACTGTAAATTTGCAATTCATTGCAAGGAAACAAAAGCAGCCTTCACATGTACACCGATGACCGGTATCATTATTACTGCGCAGTAAAACCTCATCAAGTCGAATTTCTAGGGACCAGAAACAATTTCGGTTAGGTAAACAAGAATTTTGTTGAGGGGAAGAAAAAGTAAATACTGCACTGTACAGGAAATTGTAATTGATAAAATTCTGGTCATTAATTTGCTTTCGAAAAGAGTTGACAGAATGCTGAACTTCGAGGCAAGGGTTCATTTGCCCAATCAATCTTTCACTTCCTTTCAAATTCAAGTTACACTTTCAATGCTTTTCTCTTTGCCATGTCAACACAATTATGACCAAAAGGCCTCCATTAGAATCGAGTTATGGAAGTTCGCGAGGAAACCCTTGAGTCAAGAATTATGTAATACGTGTAATTCTACAGGAATTCATGCAGGGACTTTAAAAAAGGGAGGATGGAGTTATCGAGATTCTATTGAATTACAGTATTTCCCTGTACCTAATATGTAACATTACACTCTGCTCAATTGCAGGTATCTAGGCTAATGCAATTTAAAATTCGGAGGACTTTCAACAGTACAGTACTGTACAGGTAAACTCTCTCTACAACGATTTCCTTTGTAAAACAAAATTTTTTTCTGCCCCATTGGTTTTCTCCACTCATTAAATAGGGGTTCTAAAGTATCCGAACAACGTTTTTTTTTCGGGTCCCCTGAACTTCTTCGTAGAGAGAGAGTCCACCTGTACTAAATCAGTAAATCATGTCATCCTCGGGGATGGTTTACCTTCTGAATAATGTACCAGTTTTCGATTAAGTCCGATTGTCCGGGTACAGGCACCCAGCCAGTCATTACGTGGGTTACCAGGAGTTCTATCTACTAAAGGTCTAATAGTACTGTACTGCCAATACACGCGCAGAATTCTGGTCGTCGGTATGAACAAAAATGCACAACGGGAGTCGTCGGCATGTTCAGCAGTGCGGGACGTCTACAGCACAGCATTCAGGAAAGAAGTGGTGACAGGAAATACGTCAGGGTCAGAAGTACGGTATGCCTGTTCAGACATGTCTCGTAGCGGGTGACGGCGAGGAGAAACGCGGCATTAGAGACGTGACGGGGGCGGAGAAAAGCAGTCCGACGGGAAGAACTCGTGTTCCAGATTTCCCCGACTCACATACCCGACTCAACCTTGGCTGGGTCCCGGCCACATGCCCCTATCCCACCAGCGTCCGCATCCATCAACGGACGTACCCCCGAAGACCTTGACTCTTTCAAGGGCGGGCGCGGTAACGGCGCGTGGCTTCGGTCCGACAGCGGGCCCGTCGCGGTTCCGATCGATGACCGCGCGACGTTGTCTGCCCATCTTCTCACGCCATCCGCGGCTACTTCACGAACACTCGCTAATTATCCCTCGGGCATCCCGAAACGCAGCTATACCCGTCGCTTCTCCGGCGGGGCCCAATTAACCGCCTCGCCGGCGTAACCTCGCGGCAGCACCACACACCGCCTCCAACGCCAAATATTTACCCAACCGCGACTCGCCGCCGTCGCAGCGAATCCAACAAAATTTGAGATGCATGTATCGTAAACATCATCACAAAGAGAGCTCATCTGTTGTCGCATCTTCATTCCGGCTATATTCGTAGAAAATTCATCTCGTTGTTATTTATGAGCGCCCTAATCCATCCACCGTTGAATTAAGCGGGTTTCCAGAAAAACCGCTTGTGTTTCACGATCTGAAGCCCAGAAGCGACGTCGCTTTTCGACACTCGCTTCACTAAACAACCCCCTCCCCCATCCGAGCTGGAGTTTCCAGACAAGCTCACGTGAAAAATACAAACTGCCCTACATTGGTACTTGCCTGAATTTCAGTACGCGAAGTAACACAAGTCGTCGTTCGAGGTAAAAAAAAAAATTAGATAAATGCAAGCGAACTCGACGAACGGCTGGAATCTGACGAAAAAGCTCAAGCATCGATGACTCGCCCATTTACAACAATCCCACAAACGAACATGGACTTTCTTTACAATTTTTTTAAATGATTAAGAACTTACATGCGTGATTTTTTTAAAAATTGGGAGAAAACTTGAGAGTTCTCATTTGTGAGGGCCTTTGACATACTTTTGGCACTTTCGAATCGCAGGAATCACAAGCTTCTGCACTTATACGCTTGTCAAAGCAAAACAAACGCATAAAGTACTGCGAAGACGCAGTCATTGATGCAAATACAATGACTGAGCAAGGAAAGGTCAGCCAAGTGACGCGAATCCGGCTCAGAGCCTGAAATAAGCAGCCCATCCGAACAGGACAGCCCTATTGCCAGCACAGGGATCTGGGCAGCCAGACGGCCAACAACAAAAAAATGAAAACCAGAAAACGAGAACGGAAGGAAATCGACATTACGAGACAGAGCTCCCTGGCTCGAACCCCAACGCGAAGCCCGCGTACCCCCACGTCGCGGGGCACAGACGGGCATTAGGAAGTAGGACGGTCGATACACAGCACACCTTTCGAAGGAAATAGCTTCTTCTCCTTGTCACGACATTTGGCGAGCATTAGTAAGGTTTTCATTACGTTCCTCATTTACGACATGCACTGATCATTTCATATACAAGACCATCCCTACAGTATTCCATGATGCCGTCGGAAGAGCTCTTCACTCAATTACTGTAACATGAAGTGTTTTTTAAATTCATAAAAGTACCGTGAGGGCAAAACCGAAGAGCCTGCGATGATCTTCGTACAATAGTTACAGGTAATCAGTCTCCGAATAATATAATTCACACCTTCCGAACACAAACTTCGACCCCAAAAGCGATATTGCACCCGCGAATGCAACGAAAATGGTACCGTTCTGCGCGATGTAATAATTTTCAAGCCATCTCGAAGAAAATTAATTCAAAGAAAGCTAACCCATTAGACCTGACGAAAAACGTACTTGTGAATTTCCTGATCACTAATTAAAGCTGAAGTAAAGTCGTATGAGAAAAATCTGTCCACATGAATACGGCAACTGAAACGACTTTGAGTCAGTCCCATGAACATTGCAGTTCATCAATGTATAATAAAATAAGATGATTTACAAGGCTAAGTTGACTACGAACAGCGTTATAAAAGTGATGAGACTAACATTTGATGAAGGGTCGTTGGTGAACATCCGTCGAGGGTCGTGATTTCTCGAATCATCCACAGACGCAAGTTGATTAAGAGCTGACAGTGGCGTTCCCGTTTCGGACGGACACGTCGCCTGGACACAGGACGGCGGCAACACGTCCAAGGCAGGCGAACAAGAAACGGATGGGCCTTTCAAACTACCGCCATGTCGTTCTTCCTCTAAATCCCTATTTCGGTACTCATTCGGGAAATGCGGCACTAAGCTGGACGAAGACGGTATCGGCTGCGAATCGTAGAAGCGACGATTGCTCTGGAAATAGACCAAGGAAAGCAAGCATAAAAAAAACTGACGTGAAAAAAAAATCAGAATGGAAATACGGTACAATAGCGAAAAGTAGACTCCACAAGATAACGGCAAGGAATTGGAACAATTCACCCGTTCACTGAAAAAAAGACTAAGTTAACTGAAGCCCGAAAGAATTTGCTCGGAGAAATGGCAAAAAGAAGTTCACGTTTTCTGGCTCGAAGGGCAATCAAAAATACTATTTCAGTCCACGTTTCAGAATTCAACATCTTGCACAAGCAGAATAAAGCAACAATGAGTCGGAAATATATCTGCTGTATTTACACGAAGAAACTATTGCGTTTCTAAAAAGTGTAAAAACACACAAAACTGGGTGTAAAATTCCTCTTCACGCATTCATTGTATCATGAATTAAAAACATGCATATTAAGGAGAATACTTATCTTGATTCAGAAAAGGTTCAAAGGTGGACTCACCGATACAGCAGCAAGGGCGGACAAATGCTGATTTTGTTCCACCGGCAAGCCGGGCATGAAAGACACAAGTCCTGAATTCAGTCCGAAGTTCGAAGAATTTGAGCCGTCATAAGCATTAAGGCTGTGCTCATGATGCTCTGAGTTATGAAGCACGGCTGAAGAATAGCCGTGATGCGGAAGACCGTGACTACTAAGGGAATCCTGTTGCAGATGATGAATACTTCCATCCATACCATGTCCTTCACCATTCAAATTGTATCCTACAGGTGGAACGCGACTATGCGATAATAAACACACCCCTTTCGTACCCATCTGCTGCCTATTATCACTTGAATCGTCAGTCTCCTCTTTGATGGAAAAATGTCCAGTAACACTGGGATAGAGATGCGTTGGGTAATTCACCGGATGCATCTGGTGGGAACATCAAAATAAAAAAATTGCAATAAAGATTTTCATGAAACCAAAATTTTTGACGAGTTGTGGAACCTGAGAATGAAAGGACGTCTCCCGATAGCCATCCACCCCAGGGAAATCAAAGCTGTACGGCTTTGGGGTAGAAATGACTTGGTGGGCACGCTGGTGATGAGCTCGACCGGAGTTGAGTTGATCATCTTGAAAATGTTCCATAGCCACACTTCAAGTAGTCATTCGGCTGGAATCGCCCGTGATTTCATTCTGCAAACACACTTTACACATACGCCTTGGACTGGCACTTGCCAGCATTCCCCAACGAAAACGGCACGCACCTACTCAGAAGACATAACGTGGATTCAGTCATTCTGACTATCGTTTAAAAAGAAAAGGAGTAAAAATTTGCACAACAAAGAAATGGCTTCGTGCGTTCCGAGACACTTGAAGCACTCAATTTAACCGAATTCATGAGAGGATCGAACCGCAGATCCCCTCTCACGGATGATGTAAAAAATATTGTGAACATGCCTGGAGCTCAGAGTATTGCTCATCAATCGCGAAGATCCACGTAAAAAAAAATTTATAATCACAATTATGTCCGCGTCACCGCGAGGAAGCCTTGTGCGGCCATACTTACGTCGTATACAAAAATACATGTAACCCTCAAAAAGTATACGTGACTGACATCAAGATATGTGTACGAACACCACCTCAAACGTTCCTTGAATCATGTTTTCAACAAAAATTTCGCCAAATCATTCGTTTAGCTCGTGCCAAAATTCACTTGGCAAGGTACAATATATTTGACTTCACCACAAAAGCGATTCTGGATTCAATTGAAAACCACACACTGATTCCAGTGTACTCCGTCAGAGCGTCTCGATACGCACCGGTACGCCATCGCAGTACTGAAACAAGTCTGAACTCTGGTACATAGACGCAGGATTTCTTCGTCACGCCTCCAATTGCTTCGTCCGGCCCATAACACGTATCGAGCGCCACTTCTCACGAAACTTTACGTACGCGATCAAATCAGAGAAAAAAATTTGTTATTTAGCCCATTAAAATTAAAATACAACCATCTTGTGTATCAACAAATTCCTGTCAAGACACTTCAAAGCAGATACATTCTCTCGGGTAACCTCAAAAGAGCTCTGTGATAATGAAGAGTAGCGTTTGTGGACCTGCAGCGCCGACACGATGCCGCAAACAGCAAGGCGTGCTGCCTTCAATTCGGATTTCGTCGGACGTCCGGCGCGTTCGGTGCGCCGCCATTACGACGCAGGATGTTCCTCGAATTTTGTGCGACCTGTTGAACAGAGAATTACTGAGCGAGTGAACCTAGAACTCCAACGCTGGGTTGGATACTTAATTTCGGAGATTGAATATGTGGTGCATGAAAAATTCGATAATTACAAAAACCTGACCTGGAAAATATCTACGGAAACGCACCATTCAAGAATAAGAACCTTATTAGAATTCAGAAAGTCGGTATGAAGATCGGCATACACGGGACGATATACAGTATATGCCAAATACTGTATAGATGATCTAATAATTGCATTGCCGGTTGTTATATATTTGCCATCAAGCGAGATTTATGATTTCGCCTCGGATATATAAACATGCTGCATCATTCAGATCGAACGAACATCGATTGTTTTTATTAAACTTGTGATTTGATGAATAAACATCATCCAGAGAGGGAATAAAGGAGAATCGTGGATAGATATGTATTATGAGACGAATTTTTTTTATCATCGAGGTCAGGCGTAAATAAGGGAGAAATATGGTAAGTCCAACAGGTGATATAACCGTAAATTATTGTTGAAAAGCTTGCTTTAGGTGAGTATTGACAATGAAAACTGATGCAGTTACAACGTATTGCTTATGTTGTATAAGTGTAACATGCTGCTGCATATATCCAATACAGTACTTTCAACTAATAAGTGTGTTCCACAATGTATTTAGGTTCTATTTTAGATTTCGATAAATAAATTCTTGAGTTAAGTCTCGTAAGCCAGTGATAATTGGTATAAATTGAACGCAGTCTTGCAATCCGCCTACAGCTGCGGACAGCAGCATGCAACAATTCTTTGATTTTCGTTCACACAATTCAAGTTTCCGCATAATGAAAGCGAGAGTCAATTCAATTAGCCTCAAAAGGTACTCATTGTGAAAGATCTTGCCAAATAAGTTCTAAACCATGTCGCGTATATATACTGCACTGAAGTGTCGTTTGATTCTTGACCATTCTTTGTCAATAAGGGGAACCTACTACTTAGTCATGATCACATTCCATGGGGCCTGCTATTTTCAAGCAAATGAATGGATCATGATGCATGCAATACGCTGCATGGTTTCTTCCCATATATGGCACATATGATCATTACACAACAGCATCCCTCAGCAGGGCAAGAATTATATTTTATGATATTGCCGCATGAATGGTGTTATATGGCCATTAGCATACTGTGTTTGCTGAATCATGCATGGTAATATGAATCATGAGCAATAACAGTCACTTTTCCGGCTCATGATTTTCTGCACATCCCACCTATATGGAGCTGGAAGACCTAATAACAACTGCAATTCTTCACCCGAGCTTATGAGCTTTCACTCATACAAAATGAGTCAAATTTGGAATTCAAAAACATGTTTGCTCTATATGCCTACACAGTAAAATTTCTGTAAATAAAACATGAAATGAATTGTGGAAAACATTGAGCCAACATCTCTCAATGCATCAACATGCCCAATGATTGGCTGGGAATTTTTAAATGTCAGCATTGTTGAGTGTATATACAGGTATAAGCTTGCCTTGCATTGCTTGGCAATTACCAATGAATCATGATCAAAGTTGGAGCCCAGCAAATATTTTACCCATGTTTTTCGGTTAAATTGAGTGCTCCAATCCAAGTGTCTCGGAACGCACGAAGCAATATCTCTGTTGTGCAAATTTTTAGTCCTTTTCTTTTTATACGCTAGTCAGAATGACTGAATCCACGTTATGTCTTCTGAGTAGGTGCGTGCCGTTTTCGTTGGGGAATGCTGGCAAGTGCCAGTCCAAGGCGTATGTGTAAAGTGTGTTTGCAGAATGAAATCACGGGCGATTCCAGCCGAATGACTACTTGAAGTGTGGCTATGGAACATTTTCAAGATGATCAACTCAACTCCGGTCGAGCTCATCACCAGCGTGCCCACCAAGTCATTTCTACCCCAAAGCCGTACAGCTTTGATTTCCCTGGGGTGGATGGCTATCGGGAGACGTCCTTTCATTCTCAGGTTCCACAACTCGTCAAAAATTTTGGTTTCATGAAAATCTTTATTGCAATTTTTTTATTTTGATGTTCCCACCAGATGCATCCGGTGAATTACCCAACGCATCTCTATCCCAGTGTTACTGGACATTTTTCCATCAAAGAGGAGACTGACGATTCAAGTGATAATAGGCAGCAGATGGGTACGAAAGGGGTGTGTTTATTATCGCATAGTCGCGTTCCACCTGTAGGATACAATTTGAATGGTGAAGGACATGGTATGGATGGAAGTATTCATCATCTGCAACAGGATTCCCTTAGTAGTCACGGTCTTCCGCATCACGGCTATTCTTCAGCCGTGCTTCATAACTCAGAGCATCATGAGCACAGCCTTAATGCTTATGACGGCTCAAATTCTTCGAACTTCGGACTGAATTCAGGACTTGTGTCTTTCATGCCCGGCTTGCCGGTGGAACAAAATCAGCATTTGTCCGCCCTTGCTGCTGTATCGGTGAGTCCACCTTTGAACCTTTTCTGAATCAAGATAAGTATTCTCCTTAATATGCATGTTTTTAATTCATGATACAATGAATGCGTGAAGATGAAATTTACCCCCCAGTTTTGTGTTTTTACACTTTTTAGAAACGCAATAGTTTCTTCGTGTAAATACAGCAGATATATTTCCGACTCATTGTTGCTTTATTCTCCTTGTAAAACATGTTGAATTCTGAAACGTGGACTGAAATATGTATTTTTGATCGCCCTTCGAGCCAGATACCGTGAACTTCTTTTTGCCATTTCTCGGAGCAAATTCTTTCAGGCTTCAGTTAACTTAGTCTTTTTTTCAGTGAATGGGTGAATTGTTCCAATTCCTTGCCGTTATCTTTGTGAAGTCTACTTTTCGCTATTGTACCGTATTTCCATTCTGATTTTTTTTTCACGTCAGTTTTTTTTATGCTTGCTAATGTTTTCTTTGTTCTATTTCCTGAGCAATCCTTGCTTGTACAATTTGTAGCAAAACCTTGGTGTCTTGTTGGCTGAAGAAGTGGAAAATGCAAGCAAGATCAGAAACTATTTTTCACAAGAGATCACAAAAGCAAAAGGGAAAAAGGAATCTACACCTGGTTATTCAATGGTTCATTAAAGGACTAATTGTATTTCTTTGATGATGATGATGGTTTACTTCAATTGGAAACAAGGTTTGGAAATGCAGAATGCATGCCCTTGGAATAACAAGTTCCTATTATCATTTTGAAAGGGGACACTTATTTAGCAAAATTTTTGCTTTGAGTGTTGCATAAATGCTCATGCACAAATTGTAACATTATGCAAGCTTACATAAATACAGAAATAGACATGCACACTTTTACATCATTAAGCATAGTAAGTAACACAAGCACCCTCTGATATGATTCACCAATTATTCTGCTCAAAATGAGTGTGGTTGTGTGGATGAAATAGAGTATACATTCAATTTAGTGTCTGTAAGGACTTCTAATATGTGCATTTCTAAATCACTTTTAATAGGAGCATTTCTAAAGCATTTTAATAGGTGCATTTCTAAAGCACTTTTAATAGGTGCATTTGGAAAGGTCATTCATTTTGTAATTGCCCCTGCAAGAATTTAATGAATGCCTCATTTGGAAATATGATCAGGTGTCTATCCACAGGAGGCTGCACAATGATTTTATTTTTTTATTGTTTTGAGCCTTGAGCCTGAAAGATTGTAATCCAAACAATGCAAGAAAAGTTCTTTAAAAATTGAAGTTTTAGCAAAAACTGCGCATCATACAGATATTTTATGAAGTCAAAAAAGTTAGGCAACTTTGCAAGGATTACAATAAGACCGCAAACAGATTTACTTCAATTATTAAGTGCGCTAAACGCTTCGGTATTTTGCACATTGTTGATTGTGAACATTGGAAAATTTTATTTAAGTGTTTTTCTTCGGAGTACATCCATCTAATTTGTTTTTCCAATCATTGAACGTGTTTTTATCAGAGAGTTTTCCTGTGATGTGTTCCAGTGTGAAAATATATAGTCTTGATTTTGGCCTTGTACGGGAAGGTTATCCTCCTTTTATTTTACCAAACCCACTTGTGCATCATGATCAAAGCTACTTTCCATTTTAACTTAGCTTGTTAGCTTCTTAATTAATCTCCTCCTCCTTGTACTTGAGGAACCCTGGCTTAAAAAATGTGTAGGTGGGCAGCTCAAAAACGAACACATTCTTCAATTTTTCCAATGCCTGCTACCATGCCCTGAAATTAGTTAAATCAAGGTTGAATCTCCTGTCTTTGCAAGCATCTCTTGTATTGTGGTAAGATTTGTATGATACATAGGAAAAAACAGCTGTAGAAAGCATCTTGGAAAATTATTTTTTTTCTATCAACCTCAGAATAGCAGGTATAATCAGAGTAAAGATTATTAGAAACTCAGTTGCATCATCTTTTTTCATTTTTTTTAATGTAATGGCCAAGTTATCATGTCAGAGCAATTGGATGTGATGTATCTGTAAATTGTCTCCAAATTATATTTTAAAATATTGCTTTTATTGTGATGATATTTTAAATCAAGTAGGTACAAACAACACAAATTAAGATGCAAATGATTTCCCCAGAATTTTTAGAATTTTTATCCAGTAGCTGGATTGAACTGTAGGTCTAAAAAGTAAAATGTGTGGGCTAACTGTCGAGGGCTGGACAGGAATGCTCCATGGGCCAGATCCAGCCCACATACCATAGCTTGGGCACCCCTGATATATACCATATTTACTCAAGTACCATGCGCACCTTTTTTCAGAATTTTAGGCAGAAAAAAAGAGTGCGCCTGGTTCCTGGGGATAACATTTTTGAGGAAAACTTTTCAAAAACCCTGCGCACGGTATGCAGGTAGTGTACATTGAAAAAATTAAAAGGAAATGCATGGCCTCAAGTCTGGTTGTTCCTGGGAAATAATGTCTGAAGGGATAGCAATTTTAGGATTCAGTTAAAGATGCAACAGGAAGTAGAGGAAGCAGAAGATATTCCTATAATTGAGGGAGCTGTGGACAGTAAAAAGCAGGAAAAACATAATTTGAATTGGGGAAAATAGATCCACACTAAACAATTTTCAAATCTCAGGAAAAAAAAGTGAGGAGCACGTCTTACATCGGGATAGGTTTTCAGACAAATTTCTTGCAGAAAAATGGTTGCACTACTTACTCATGGGCGCAAGGTACTTGAGTAAATATGGATAAGTATCAATGGCCTGGGCAGGAGGCGTGAGTCCAAATTATAAGTGTATTGTATCCCACATTTTGTCAGCTAATGAGATATTGGTCAAATTTTTCTGAGACACTTTATTGAATCCCTGTGAAATAATTCAACCCAAAATAAAAGCAACCCCAATTTATAAGAATATAAGGTGCCAAAAAAAGTTACTTTGTACTCCATTGGTTGGATTTCCGACTTTTTTGTCACATGAGCAGCATATTAGAAGCAGGCAAAGCTTGAATAAATGAAAGTTTTGCCAGTTTTAACCAATTTAGGTTTTGTTTTATTCAAATAATCATGGGTATACAGTAGACAATCACAAATATATTTTCATTCATGTTTTAGGGCAATGCTTTATTTGTTCTGCTAATGAATGCAATTATTTCCAAAGCATGCCAAGGCAATAAAAAAGCTTGGATCAGTTTTGGCACTTCTTCCTGCGTGGTCTTGAAAAGTGCGACAAACATCATAACCACTTGAATTTGATCCTTATCAGGTTCAGACTTACAGCACTCAGATGATTCAAAAAGAAAGCAAGCACAGTGCTCAAAGAAATGCAAGAAAGAAAGGGGCTGATGGCAGCTCAACACTTGAATAGGACTGGACGGTTCTTTGTAGGGATTTGCATGGACTTTGAACAGCAGTGTTCCACATGCCACAACATCCTTTTTTTTGCACATTAAATACCAATACAGTAGTAGCACGTATGTGTAGATGAAAAGATTTCTCTTGAGGGACACTTGCCAAAGCCAACATCCAATACTTCACAAAAAGCACACTAAAATCTTCTGCAACCTCACTTTGCCATCCTTTGCACTCACATTTCAACTAAGAGAATGCAAAAGGTTTCACACCGAGCTTTTTGGCAGCCTGGAAAATGTTGCCACATTTAACGCTCCACCCTAATGACAATACACATTGCTCAGATTAAGTTTGAAAAATGTTTGCTTCATTGTGCACATTGGGTGGATTTCGGGACTTTACAAATTTTAAGAAAGGGTCTTCTGCATAGACTATTTTCTTCTGTCTTCATCTCAGCAGGAAAAAAAAAAGCATCCCAAAGCTACGGTTACTGAACAGCAGCCAACAAAACAATATTACTTTTGTTGCTTTTGCCCAAATAGATTAATTTCTCGGAGCCATAAAGCTTCTTAGCTCTTCTGCTTTTATGGGCTTGTAATATCCAGTAGCTGATTGACCCCAGCCACGGGGCATGGTGTTATAATTCCCGAAGTCAGCCATGGAGCGGCGGTGCACATGTTTCAGTGAAGCGTCATCATGTTTTGGTACATGCTGCTGAACACCGGGACATTGTGCCAGAGGTTCCACCCTGGGGTCCAGAATTAAATGTTGTTGCTGCTTCGGTGAATGCTGTACTGCTGGCTCTGGCTCCAGGTGCTGCAAGTGCCCAGGGCTGAACATTGGGCGATGAATGCTCCGAGGCAAATTTGACACTGCGGACACATAGGCACGATACAAACACATTTTAAAAATCACTTGGGCAGCATGGTATACAGTACTGAACAGTTATACACCATACAATGATTTGTTCTTGCATTAAGAAACTACAGTGAAATTTTGTTGCAGCAAACTTTTGGGGACTTCAGAAAAGTGTGTTATATGCTGAATAATTTGTTATAGTAATTGCAAATTTTTTGCAATTAATAAGTGGAAAAAATATTTGCTTCAGACCCCTGCCTATACTGTAATTGATTGAACTGCTTCCAGCTTCTCAACAAAGCACAAAAAACCATACATTTCATGTATTTTCAGCATACAATTTTGAATTGAATATTCTTTTGAATTAATTAAAATTAATCCTGATGTGTTCTGAACTTGTGACTCTTGCACATAACTTCTTGAATTTCTCAAATGTTGAATATAGTAAAAAGATGCTCTTCTTTTCTAATTTACCTCAGGTTTTAGAAAGATTCCCAAATTTGAATTAAAATTTGTTTAAAGGTGACCGTTTTTTGACAGAAAAATATTGTATGTGTGACGATTTCTTGATGTGAGTCACTGTCTCCCTAAGAAATTCACGTTATGCTAATTTTTCATGGCAAGGGTCTTTTTTTATGCAGGGACTCATTGTATGTATGAGGTGTGACCAATCACTGGCTACAGTACCAGGCAGGTGAGAAAAGCGACCTACTACAGATCTGTTCTCTTCAGCAGTACTTGGGAAACTTAAAATTATTTCTTCATACCACACAGATTATATCATTGATGAGCTGACTACACCTTATTCTTTCAAGTACCACAGGCCATCTCGTAAACTATTCACCTTCATTTTTGAGCCGGAAAATTAGGTAAGAACTCATCCCTGCATACAACGCAAATCCCAGTTGTCAGGGAAAATCTTTATAGATTAAGAATTACAGCAGCTAAAATCATAAATATACAGTCCAACAGTGAGAGCATTTAATTGCCAGTCAATCTTTCACTGTGCCATTACATCCACTGAGGTACTGTATCTGTAATGTGATCCACCCTAGAGTTTTTGGAAATTTCCATGAAAAGTTGATACTAAGTACAGTATCATTTAAGCCCAACTTTTAGGTACTGCTTTTTTGGGAGAAAAGTGTGTGGGGTTTCTAAGTAAATTCAATACATTGACATAAAGTCTCTGTACCAGAAAAACATTTTTGGTATTGTGGAGAATATTGTAGAAGAGATCATTGGTGAGAGAATGCCTTTGACCTGTTGCTTGATATTAAAGCTTATAGTAACTGTTTTTCATTCCATTTTCATAAATGTATATCAATATAAACCAATCTTTCCTTAAACCTATTTGCGTTAAAAGAACTGAAAAATCCTGTTTTCGCGTATCAAACAAAGACTTGTACACCCTGCATTTTCGGTAAACTTCAATTCCTTTTTGTCCAAGAACGAGAGAGACTGAAATTGTTATACAGTAGTTATTTGCACTAGTGGCTGTGAGTCACATCAACGCATTGATTTGTTTTTTGTTTTTCCTTCAGGAGGAGAAGAGAACACAACAAAAATAACAAAATATTAAGTTGCTTATCCTATATTTTTATCAATTTAATTAATTGGGTACATTAAAAATAACCTACCTAAACTGAGTTTGCAGAACCATTTTCTAGTAGAAGAAATAACTGCTAAGATGCGACTTATATTTGAAATTTTGAAGCGTGCATGCTTTTGTAAATATTTTTGCACAATTAATGGGTACTTTATGTACATCAAACTTGAAATGTGTGCCCTGCATACAAACGTGGCCTATATTCGCATGCATACGACTTGATATAAAAGGACCTAAAGTAGCTCATCACCATACTGTCAGCACACCTTGAATTTCCCGCATAATTGGTGGATGTACGGTACTTTTTGTTGCCCACTGCAAGCAACCTGAGCATAATTTATAACCCCAAACTCAGAAGGTGCCATAAAATATGCAAATGGCATGAATATTTTCATGTAAATGTCAGATGCTCCCCTAATTTACACTGCGTTTCCAATATGTATTCGGTTGAAATTTAAATATGCCCGTATACCCAATGGTTTCAACAGCCATCCATGCCAAAGAGGCTCTTCGCAGGACGCACCAGGACATTGAGAACATACAGTGGATAATTTTTTTTTTAGATTTCTTTTTCTCCAGGGGGATAGGTGTCACTATATACAGTCAGAAGGTACATTGGAGTATGCATAGTACTGCAATACAGTATGCCTTTATCGCTTAGATGATTGACTTTGAACTGAAAAAAAAAGAATTCATCTGGGATCACAAGTACTGTAGTATTGTGCGAGGGATTATCGTGTGATAGCCATCATGGCAAAACAAAGAAAATGTGAGCAGCTGCTGAAGAAGTTGTTGGACAAGACGGAGGAGGGTTCTTGAACTTACTGGTCCGATTCGGGTCCCAGCCCCGGGGAAAGGAGTTCAGGATTGTGTCGCAGGAGTGCTCTCGCATGCTGAAGGGCCGCTGACTCTTGTCCCTCGGGCGGGCTTGTCGCATCTTCACGTCCCCATTGTGGCTGATGGAGCTGTCGTCCAGGGTTCTGTTCATCACAGGTTGTGAAGCCCCTTGGGGTGTGGTTGAGAAAGGCAGCAGGGGCTCCGCAGTAAAAGCCGTGTCCACGGATCCAGTCTCCAGGGCAGCTTCCCACGGCGACTTCACCAACTTCACTTTGTTGGCCTTCAGTTGCTGCAGTCTTTTCTGGAGTTTTAATGAGAAAGGCTTTGAGTGGCAACACCCGCCCAAAACACCTCACCCGGGCTAAATCATTGAACTCAAGTCAGTCATTGAGGTCTGTGTTTGAAAACGTCACTTGGGTGAAAGACTCCACAGCATTTAACTAAAATGGCGTTATAGATTTAATCTCAAGCAGACCCCACAGAAGCTTTTTTCAGACGCTATCATACACAAGCCAACCTACAAGTACTGTGGGACTCCGATCATCCATACAGTGCTACTGAATGAGCGCCTTTGTCAGGATAGCCGAATTACTGTACTGTACTTCAAAAAGCGTTCCGCAGAAGAAGAAACAGATCCTGTAAATATTCAATACACTATTGTCCATTATATCCTATACCTCCAGTGCTTTCTGTGTTGTGAGAGCGACATCTAGTACAACAACTATGTCTTCTGGAACTGCATCGCAGTAGCTTTTGTGTACGCTGCGCTACTACCAATTTTCGAGACCCCAATAAAACTTGGTTTCGGATTTCAAGGGACCTGCAACAAATTTGAGCTAAGAAAAAAATAATTTCGTAAGCAGAAATGCATAAAAATTGCTGCAAACTCTAGTTGGCGACATTCTGGGCCTGAAATTGCTTCTCACATGAGTTGACAGGATGCTGAACTTGGAGACCAGGGTTCATTTGTGCAATCAGTCTTTCAAACAAATAAAGTTAAATTTTCAATACTTTTCTCTTTCATGTGTAAACTTAAAAATATCCAAAAGATCCCCAACCAGGAATCAAATAATGAAGGTTTGTGGGGGGATAAGCCTATCCGTTAGGGAGGTTTTTAATGCATTCTTTCCGAAGGAATTCAAACAGGAACAGTACAGTACTTGAAAAACATAGGTATTTGATGTAGTGCGTTTCCAGTTATCGAGATTAAACTGTAATTCTTTGGATTTTTACCTCTATTTCTTGGTTTTGTTCCATGATGAGGTGACCGAGGGGAGTCACGGGAGGATGATGAGGAAGAACCGGTGTTGTTAAGGGCTGTACCACGGGTACTTCCGCCTTGTTCTCTTCCGTGATGCCAGCCGGGTTCGTCCGAACAGTTGTCTCGTCAACGATCCACTTTTCAGCCTTCTTCTTCCGCTTTGCGAATAGTTGCGCACCTGCAAAAATTCAGTTCGGCCGACAGCAAACGACGCTATAGTTTCCGAAATTCAGGTGCACAAGAATTGCGAAGCGATTTTACAACATGATTTGAATAAAAACTCAAACTAAACCACGGACCTTTATAATTTCTGACGCACTTACGTCAAACGTTCACATGAATAAATAAAAAGTTATGGTTCGTCCAAGAGCTCGTCACGCGAAGGAAACGTGTCAACTTAAATTTTAGGCAAAGGAAAGTTATGATATGCTGCAGTTTTCTCAATAGTAAATGCTGGAAACGGCCCAAAAGACTGTTTAGAATAACATGTTGTATGCGGAATTATATTCTTGAAAATTCCTCAACTTTGCTTGAACTTTTTCCAAAGAAAAGTTGCTGCTGATTTGTGATTAAAAATGCTGACTTCGCTTAGGATGATTTGCTTTACTTTGGTAATTGTACCTCTTACTCATTTTCCAGCCGTCGTTTCTTGACCATGCAGATGCACTCAATTATCAGAAGAAATTGCTCGCGAACTAGAATTGAGGATGAGCTCCTGAAAACTGAACCAGCAACTCTTCCTAGAAAATGACTTGTGTTCGTCTAAATTGACTCTGAGAAGCTCGTTTTTTTACGCCGTAGACGAAATCCAGATGTAACTCTGGACATCCTATGTTTATTGAATGCTTCAGTAAATCACCCCCGGCTTTATGAGTGAAGTAACTGCATCCATTATAATAGCAGTACATGTACACTAAAAAAAAGCATGTATAATCAGTGGGTCGAGCTAGAATTATAACGGAAAATAAGAATCACGGAATTTTGAACTGACCTTTGCCAACTGGTGAATTGAGATCCTTGACTAGATCCGAAAAGACTTCAGGGGAAAGCTTAGCGTGGTCGTTGTAAATTGCAGAATTCCTGAGACTCAGAGCATCCTTCACGTGGGTAGGATTCAAGACGAACTTCAAACTCGGAGTGCGATGTATTCCCTCGACATCTTGGTTTCCCGGCGCCTCACCAGCACTGACCTAAGAAACAATATGTTTGGAACGTACTACGCCATGCATCCTGACTAAAACTTCACTAAGGAACTTACAACTGAAGTCGAGTGCGTTGACGTCTCTGATGTGCTCTGCTGTTCGAAGGAATGAGTTTCTAGCGAAGTCGTGGTTGTGTTCGCGAGCGGCGGCGGCTCGGTCATGCGATCGGGACCTGGGTCACAGGAACACGTTATTTTTCTTTGTTGTTTTGCCGTGATATCAGGAAAAGGCGGGACTTACTTTCGGTTATCCATTTCACTGACCGTTTCTTCCGCTTCACATACATCGTCTGACCCTTCGACGTTTTGTTGTCGTCGGCGCTCAAGCTCTCCGAGATCCTCCTCGCCAACTCGAACTGCTCCTCCACGGTTGGATAGATATTCCTCGGCTCATTATAAAAAGACGAGGAACCGAACATTTTACCTGTTTTCCAGCATTAAAAAAAATTGGCTCTTCATCAATAAATATGAATTATTGCAGCCTAGGGTGATTATGGGAGAGAAAGTGAAAATAAACTGAATGGCGCTCAACGAGGAATTTCCCAGAAGCCCTACTACTCGGCATTATTTCGGGGAAATTAAACCTGGTGGTCTATTCCAACCTACAATATCTAAAAAATGCACCCGATCACAAGAAGTGCAATGCGATACAATACGCGACGGAAATCTCATGTACTCATGAGTCAGAAAATAATTTTAAGAAATAAATGCAAGCTTCAGCTTTTCGGCGGGGATTCCCCAAATTATCCGAACATTTTCAAGAAGCATTTACTGCATTCACTATCGTCTTCATCGTCTGTATTATCCGTGAGCCTATTTTTTTCATCTGAATTTCGAATTAATTTGGGAACCCGTCATTGCGAAAACGGAACAATTTTCTACAGAAATCCTCAAAAGCTGTCGTGAGATGTAAGCATGTAACGCTTCGTTTTCGAAAAAGGTGATACAGTACTGTACTGTACTTCTTATTCGTTTTCCGTACTTGAAAGATTATTTGGAAAGTAGAAAAACATGAATAGACCATTCTTTTTTCCCTGTCGGAGAACTTCCTGACCCATCAAACGAATTCGCAAATTCATAAGCTTTTCGTTTTTTTCTGCTCACGAATTACATTTAATTATCCACTAAGCAAACTTCAAAAAGTTATAAAAAGGGGCAACTCCGTTTCATCCATTATAGCAATAAAGACTTGTTCTACACGATATTTGAGAAACCCGTATCAGAGAAATATTTTATCTCTTGTTCAACATCTGTCAGTTCAGCAAGAACCACTTACGTCGTCGTGGTGCTATCAAAACTGCGTCATTTGCAGGCTGCATTATTTTCTCCAGACTAAATCGACGCTCGCTGTTGGAAGACGGGCCTTCAAAATGGCTGTCGAGCGGGGTTTGCTCAGTTTCCGACACGTTTTCTTTGTTTTCCGTTTGACCAGCTGATGGGTAAATTAGCCCGGCGGCAAGCTGAAATAAATAAATAATAAAAATCAACACAAAGCAACACGAAGTCGAATCTTCCGAACTCACGTTCCCAAACTCTGCCCCGGAAGTTTTATTTTGACCCGTTTCTTCGGCATTTGAAACATTCTCTTGGTCCCTCGAAGAATCAACAACTGCGACAGGCTCCTGCAAATGCCAAGACCGATTCGACGGAATGAACAGTCGAACAATCCCGAAAGTTCTGGCAGTGACATAAATAATGCATCAGCTTCGGATCAACGCAGAATAATTCTGCAATTTCCTGAAGAAAGTACTGCATGAGTTAGATTGAATAACGCCGACAGAACGGCGCTTGTGCGAAAACGGAGCGTCCCAAAAAAGGAGTGTCGAAATAAAAATATACTGTACAGTGCAAATGGAAAAAAAATGCGGGCACTGAAAAAATGGAAAAAACTTAAAAATCAACAGGGCAAACTTTTTACACCAAAAACTTCGGTTTTCCAGGCATTCATTCAAGAGCCCTGGCTCAAAATATAAAAAATCTCAAAAATATATTTTTTTTTACATTTATCTGACAAACGAAAAAAGGTAGCTTTCAACAAATGACCGTGATATCGCAGAAATTGGCGTGAATATTGGCGCATTTGATCAGATTGAAACCTTGCATACAGTATCACGGAAAATAAAATCCTGAAAAATTTCATCCAAGAATGAAAATATCACATTGTGAATGAATGCGAGCGTGAAACGATACAAACTTAAAAAAAAAGAGGTATACAATTATACAGGCCCCTTTATTTGCCCTCAAAATGAATTGAAATTCGGGCACAGCTACAGGAACTCAGATTTCAATACTGCATTCATTCTGCTGTTTCGTTCACATGTTCCACGAGGTATAGAAAATCCTGAGAGGTTATAAACCCATCATATCCGAGTAAATATTATTGTCTGACTCATCTGGGAAACTGCTTTGAGTTGACCAAGTGCACTTATTTTCATGCTAACCTAAAATCGAGCAAGTACGGCAAAACCCTGCGCGCGTAAAAAAAGTAAGTACACTATGACGTCTTGGTGAAGTTTTCGACAAGTAGTTTTTTCGATCATGTCATGGTCCCCATGTCAACAATCTAAAAGGTTCTTCGGCGCTATTCAATCTGACAAAGTTTTGACGTAGAAAAATAAAAATAAAAGAAGACAAAAGCTGGCTGTGTCTCACGTGTGAATAAGTGTCTGAAGTAGGGGTCCAGACTTTACCGGGAGTGCTGTCACACAGAGCACTGAACGGCCTGTTCACTTTGAACAAGGTCATGCCATTGAACGTTTTCGTGTTGTGCGTCGTTTGTGTCTGGTTCGTGGATATGCTGAGCCTGTCAGGGTATCCGGGCAGCTTTGTACTCGTCATGTCGTCTAAACTTATTGTTGGGCCCTGAAATCGGCCGAATTACACAGTGTCAGCAAATTAAATCAAGAACGAGGTATGCCGAAGTTTGCATTCGATGTTGCTAATTGAGACATGCGAGGGTCGGGCAAAGTGCGACATCAAGAGGACAGTGAGCAATTTTGCAAATGTGAATAATAACGTTGCATTCCAACTTTAAGTCGATGTGAACCACAAACTAGACGAGGCTTCCTTGAAATAACGAAACCCCATTTTATATTTATATAAAAAGGCCTTTAATAGACGGGTCAACACTGCACGTGACGTAAAAACTTCTAAAGCTACTTTCTTCGATTGACTTATTCGTCTTCGTAAACGGGACTGTTTATCTAAAAGTAAATGTTGAAACGGCTGGTTTTGAAAATCGTAATGATTTCACGAGTTAAATATCATTCAAAAGTAGGGCTATTTCAGGACAGCGACAATTTTTTGCATTTTATAGACTAACGGATATGGCAGATACCGAATCGAAATCTATAAACTGTGGAATTTTCTGAATCACAGGAGTTTTGAATTTGATTTTTTTTTTCAAATGGAAGTTACATTTTCAACTGCTTTTATAAAGATCTTTAACACGAAGGATCGATTCTGCCGGAATCAGAATCTTTCTTTTTCTCCCTGTCTACCTGCCAAAAATTCGTTGAAAAATTTGAAAACAAATCTGAGAAGACTGAGATGTAAGTCTGTAGAATATTTCCATTTGCCTTTGAATGGAAGTACTGTATAGAGCACATTTTAATTTTTATCGGGGTATATTTTATTTAAATGTTCGTACCAACCACACCAGGGATCTTGAAAGCATAAATGTGACGCCATACGAAAAAATTGAACGGATTTTAATTTTACGCTTTTTCACTACCGTAATTTGAAGATCTCAGAAAGAACTTCCTTGAAAATTGCGTCATTAAAATGTTTTAAATTTCTTTTTTTCATCCTATAAAGATAATCATGCGCATGATCAGACTTTACTCGAAGGTCGTGTTTGTCAGGGACTGTAAAATATAAATATATTTTTCCGGAAATTATCTGCCCAGTTGTGACGTGCACTGCATTTTTGAAGATTTCGATGAAAGAAGCTAACTGAATAAGCAGAAGCATTTGCCCTGACAAATAGATTTTCAGAATGTTGAAACGGCTGGTTTTGAAAATCGTAATGATTTCACGAGTTAAATATCATTCAAAAGTAGGGATATCTTCGGTTATTTCAGGACAGCGACAATTTTTTTGCGTTTTATAGACCAACGGATATTGCAGATACCGAATCGAAATCTATAAACTGTGGAATTTTCTGAATCACTGGAGTTTTGAATTTTATTTTTTTTCAAATTGAAGTTGAATTTTCAACTGCTTTTACAAAGATATTCAACAGGAAGGATCGATTCTGCCGGAATCAGAATCTTTCTTTTTCTCCCTGTCTACCTGCCAAAAATTCGTTGGAAAATTTTAAAACAAATCTGAGAAGACTGAGATGTAAGTCTGTAAAAATTTTTCCATTTACCTTTGAATGGAAGTACTGTATAGAGCACGTTTTAATTTTTATCGGGGTATATTTTATTTAAATGTTCGTACCAACCACACCAGGGATCTTGAAAGCATAAATGTGAAGCCATACGAAAAAATTGAACGGATTTTAATTTTACGCCTTTTCACTACCGTAATGTGAAGATCTCAGAAAGAACTTCCTTGAAAATTGCGTCATTAAAATGTTTTAAATTTCTTTTTTTCATCCTATAAAGATAATCATGCGCATGATCAGACTTTACTCGAAGGTCGTGTTTGTCAGGGACTTGAAGATCTCAGAAAGAACTTCCTTGAAAATTGCGTCATTAAAATGTTTTAAATTTCTTTTTTTCATCCTATAAAGATAATCATGCGCATGATCAGACTTTACTCGAAGGTCGTGTTTGTCAGGGACTCTGATGAGGCAGAAGGGAAGTCTTGCCTTGATATCTTTCTCAATTTCGGAAATGATTTCGTGGAGCTGATCCTTGATGCTTCCCTGCTCAATCTCAGCATTGGGCGACTTCTGATTGATGTCTGCCGACGAGGCGTCCCTCGGTATAGCGAGTGAATCCGGCGGCGACACGGCCACCGCCGCCACCTCCGGCTCGACTGCTGCTTCAGGAGCAGCTTCCGGTTCCGGCGCCTTTTCCGGCCCCGCTTCGATCCCGGCCGAACTTTCGTCCATCGCCGCGCTCTCGGCGGCTACACCATCGGTCCCCTCGCACTTTACTGGGACGGGAAGGTCAGTAGACTGCAATGTTAGCTGGTCCCCACTTTCCTCCATTGTCCGTTTCAGCTTGAAGGGGGCAAACTTCAACTTCTGGGGGTTTTGTGTTAGCGGGTTTACAAGGGGGGGGGGGGGGGGGGTTAGATGGGGGATGCAAGAAGCAGACGGGGGAGCGCATGTATATATACGCGTGATGCAAATGAGAATTTTTTTTACAAGTGCATGAAATCCGCAGCCAGGATCCGGTGCGATTGTGAGTGACAGACCAGCCCCATGGAAGAGAAACGAGAGAGAGATGATACGAAAACCCAGGTCAGCCGCGCAGGTGCTCTCAGGCGACGCAAACCATCCTGCTAAACGCCAACTGACCCCTAGCTATGCGTCTATTCTCCGACGAAATACTGTATTCTCATCATACCACTGCTCAACTGATGCTCTTAATGACCAACCATAAGGAATCCTAGAGAAACTTAGTTTTTTTTTTTGCTAAGCGGAGGAATGCTACTCTTTTCTTGCGACGCACTCACCAGTGGGCTCAGCCAAGATTCTCTTCGCCCTCGTCCGGGAGTAGAGCGTACCTCCGGAAGTGCAGCCGGGCTTCGTGAATCCCGCGCGATTCCTCGCTCCGGGTCAACCTGAATGTCACGAATCAACGCTCCATTATGTCTCAAACGATTTTTTCTCGCATACTGTACCGTACCAGGAATTGCACTGTATTGTACGATGAGCTTATACTCTGTAAATGGCATAAATGACCTCGTGGCGCGTGGGGGAAAAAAAGAGTTTTAACTCTCCTTTTTATACCCCACGCGCAGCACCCCTATGCTAAACGTTTTTTTACAATCTTCACCAGGTGCGCGTCAACGATAAAAAATTGGAAATTAATTGAATTTAATCAGAATTTATATTTAAAAATTTATTCTGGCGTCTCATTTTGAAGTATTGTAGTTTTTCAGTCAATCGAAATGTGATGCCTGTCTTCCCTCTCATTTCATCAAAATTTTACCGTTAAAAAGTGGGGTGCGTGTCTTACTTGAGGACGCCTGGTACTCAATTAAATACCATAATACAGTTTTGTATAATAAGTGTCCCTATTGTTTCCTTGTTCCTTGGAATTTGTGCGAAGTTTTGTCGGCAAATTTAAGACGCATGCTCATTTACTGTCAGAAGACTGGGTTGAATACTGTACTAAACCATCAGATAAATCCTTCAGCGTAATCTTCCTCTATAAATCTTGTGTTCTTGAATAGAAAATGATAATAAAGATTTTTCTCTTTAATTTTCCATTCAGATTTTGTAGGAAAGAGACGCACTCTGATTTTTCAAAGCCCCCTTTTGTGAGTGAAAAAAAACCTAATATTCAAGTGAGAATGGTAAGAAATAATTTTTTTGTGCCAAAATTGGCTTTCAAAAAATCAAATTCAACTTTCGTCGAATATTTTATGACGCACGTGCGAATTTCATCGATTCACTTTTTGCTGAAAAAATTGAGCTGAAAATGCAGTCTGTGTCTTGATTTTGTTTAGTTTTATAAAGATGCACCTTACAATAAGGGAAACCTACGATTAGCACGCAAAGTGCTTTACGACGAGAATAGCACAGAATTTTGAAAAAATTAGTCTCGAACTTAAAATCAGCGAAATCTTAAAAAAATAAAATTATTCTGTAGCAGCAATGCTACCCTGAACGAAGCAACCCTATCAAATCACAGCGGTTGCTCGCCAAGGAATAAAATTCGCGAATTTTCCCTCAAATTTTACAATTTTGCATTAATACTGTATTTATGCAGGTGAAGGCATTAAAGGAGGGTGGCTGGGAAAATTATGCTGAATTATTATGAAAGTCTCGATCTCGATGTCTCAGGTGTGACTCCATATGTGGGCTTTTGCAACACATTCCTCTCATTTGGGTCAAAATTTTTCAAACTGCGTCTCAGGTTCGTCAGCAAAATTTTACTCACTTTTATTGAAAAAATAAATTTGACGAATCGCCTACTTACTGCGCGTGATCTTCCTTGTGGCGAATTATCCAACCAATGTTGCACAGAAATCCTTTCGTAAATTTTCAAAATCGATGACGGATCCCCGGTTTCTCTGTACCTTTTTCTAGAGGTGGAAGACGGAAACAAGATCAGTCAGCGTCCCGGCGAAGTCGATAAATCGGGAATGGTTGCGGAAACATTGATGAGTTCAACTTCGTCACGTCACGCCTGTCCTTGATGGAAATCATTATCTGCCGCTAAGACTCAATTCTGGGCATCACATCGCCCGTGTTAGGAGTGCTCGTGTTTTTTTTTTCTTCCGAAAATCTAACACTATGGCTTGACTATGATTTTTAGATTCGTTGTCCCGAGCATGCCCCTGAAAACGATTCCAACCAGCTTACTTCGTTCATGAAAAACCCGTACATCACCACACATCAAATCACGCTTCCTCGTCTCGCTACAACTAAGAGGGCTGTGTTCATAACACTCGCAAAAGATTACAGTGCTCTGGAAATAAAACCAAAAACTCTTTTTTTCTGTGTCTGATCCCTTTGTGCTTCACGGACGGCGGCGCGAACGATCAGAAGAGAGGTGGAGGAGATTCACCAACAAGCGGGAACCAAGAGTCGGACAAGACAAGGTTCTGGACATCGTCTGCTCGGACCTCCAGACTTCAACCGAGGAAATCTCTCCCGACGAGCGATGCAAGAAGGATCACTGCAATTCCATCTCCTTACTGAACAATTATCTGGTTTTTCTCCCAGCTGGTTTATTATTCTTGCTGATAAAATCGCGTCTTCAACCATGTACAGGTGGTACCCCGCATTTTGACTTCCCTCAATTTTTTCGTCATCCCGCAATTTGAAGGTCGAATTTGCGGGGAGGTTGACTCACAATTTGACCTCTGCCCCGCAATTCGAACCCGCTTCAGCTACTTTTATAGTTTTTTGTGCTGCTCTTACTTAATGTTCCTCTTGCAATTTGACCCTAGTTCAGGAATGGATTAGAGTTGAATTGCGGGGTACCACCTGTAATATGAGGGCATGTACAAAAACAATCCTCGAGTACAACTACTTTAACGCCAGTTTTTTTTTTTTTTTTTAATTGAATTTTATCACTGAAAATATGTTGGTGCTCCACTACCACATCATGGATGCATAATTTATTAAAGCGCCATCAAGGAAATGCCTTCCCTTCTACCTCGACGATTTAAGTAACTTCAATTAAAACCTGTAACTTGAGTTAAGACCTGTAAATTCTGTACTATCTCATGTTTAACATTCAAATGCTCAATTTTCAAGGACTTTGGTATTCAAACTCTACCTTAGTTGGCTTTATGCTTGGTTGTACGCATACAAATTCAAGATTTGCCCGCTTTTTGAGAGAATGCCACCGGTTAGAAAGCAAAGCTGCAATTACCGTTTATATAGACACTTTTTTCAATCATTTTGAATGTACTGCAGTTCTTCTTCAATTTTCTTAGAGAAGAATCAATATCTTCACATCTTTCACCGAGATGGTTCAGCTTTTTCTAAAAGGGACGCTTAGCGTAATTTGAATTTACCCAGAATTTGAAGATAGCTAAAATTCTCATTTAATTTTTTGAATGTCTGAAATGAGGGATTTGAAAACCATCGAAATTTTTCAGACATTATGATGTCATTTCTTGGGCTTCGAAATTATATTTGAACAATATGCACGCTATTATCCCTAAAACGATTCCCTGTACAGAGCCATTGTTTGAATAGGAACTTTCTTTCAGGTACTCGCGGAGTTTCAATAAGGGACTCTGTCTACAACGATTCTTTTAATAACAGGGATATTCTTCTGGCAGCGCAATTTCTTTTCGGTCCTGAAAGACCTTTATTGAGAATCTTCTGCAAAAACCTTATCGGCATAGCGAATTCTTTTTTGGTACATCGAATACTGCAGAAAAATATCTGCCTTGATTACTTTATGAGTAGGGTCTTCTACATCGAAATTCCACCAACTAATACATTTTTGGGAATCGTTGCATTCAGAATCCCGCTGCACCCTTTTTTTTCCCTGCAAAGGTCCAGACTGGGTGATTTGAACATTTCGGGGACAACAGCAGGGGAAATCCGGAAAGGAGGAGTACAGGAAGCACAAGTGGGGGATGATGGGGAAGAGGAAGAGGAGGAAGGAGAGGCGCGAGAGCCGAACGTGAAAACCGGGTACCAGAATATCGGGCCAACCACGCAACTGCAACCAGTACGCCAACTTCAAGCCAGGCGGTGCCGGATGTCGATTCGAGCCGCCGAACCTGATCAACTCCTTGAAGCAGAACGCCAACAGAACCAGCACCAAAATGATCGACGCTCCAACTATCGGCGGGATCAGTTGACTGGGCAATGACATATCTTCTCTACTGTCATTCTCGTTCTGGCTTCCTTCGTCAACAATGCTTTCCTTCTCTTCTATGTCTCTTGCTTTCGCTCGCTTTCTCTCTCTCTCTCTCTCTCCAAACTTCACTCACACTCACATTCTCGCGAAAAATTCGATACCTATTATGGGAATCCGGCGGCTGCGAGAAATCTCACAACATCGCCATCTGGTTCGTCACTCCGTCACTGGTTTTTGATGTCGGGCCCCTGGAATTAGGCAATGCTATTTTACCTCGAATAATGTCTGAAAATCAGTTCCAATTATTATTCCAATCTCAATGGGGTGAACTAAATTATATTCCGGATTTGAAATGATGAGTAGCATTGTGCATTGACTCACTTTCCGAAAATATCATCTAGGAAAAACTCAAGTGCGGTTTTCAAAAAAATTGAAATGATGGGTTTCCTGCAAACAAAATTTCTCACTTAGATCTTTTCACACTAAGGCATATTGACTGCTCAACCTACAATATCATACAGCCTATTGCAAAATATTTTCATCCTACGCCGGGAATTGATGACATCTTCGGAAGATAAAATCGCAGAAAATATGTGAGCTGAGAATTGAAGCTGAAATCCTAAATTGTCCATGCCTAAATTCCCGCGAAACTAATAGCAATCGCCTCTGCGTGACTGAATTCACATTCGGTTCATTACTCACGATTCGAAGCATATTCTATATTTATTGAATAGGAATGATCCGTGCCGGGGCATATTTACAGTAAATATCATATTCTTGGAGAAGCTAGATAGATGGAGATGAACGAAACGTATTTATAACACATGGTGCGGCTCCTTTTCACTGTCAAAAGGAACGGATTGAATGCAGGATTCAATATCCGTCACTAGCCGGAAATGAGATCCTTGGTTGGGATGGGAACTTACCTGAGAATTTCAAGAATGATCGGCCCGGAGGAGCTGAAAATCAGGTACTGGAACTGGTCCAACGTATGCCAACGACAGGGCACTCCGTTCACGGACAATATTTTGTCGCCTTCTTTCAATAAATCCTCGCTCTCCTTTGACGCTGGATCGTCCTTGGATACAGCAAACTGCCCCCGCAAAGAAGGAAAAAAAAAGAAAACCACCGATTCGAAAGCCATTACAGTAATTTCATCCCAAGGTTATCAAAAAACAAGTCGCCGGAAGCAATTCAATGACTTTCTGATGCGATGCATCATCAGCCAAATGCGCATTGTTTTCCCATTCGGTCGTTCCAGCATTGATAATATTATGGCGAGGCATGGAAAATGTGCGAGCGCGGTTCGCAGTCACGACCACAAGAGGTATAGTAAATGAAGGCGAGGGAACCGATTAGTTTCTATGCGGTCGACGGAGGCGAGAATCCGGAAGCAATTCCCGGATGGAGAATCTGTCACATGGCGAGAGTCGCCGCGGGAATGCTCGTGTTCTATGCGAAACGTTTTGCACGCGGGGGGAAATTGACGCGATTGCCCGACTGCTCGTCCAAGTCGGCGTCACGATGAAAAACAGATGGCGAGAAATTGCCAGCATGCGAACCACGCGGATTCCGGCCGTCTCTAATAAGGACCAGTGATGCTCTGGCAGTTGTTGCGGGAATTCCGCCGCTGTGCGGTTTACGTGGCAATCACGACCAATGCCAAGATTCCCGCGAGCTCGCTGACGCTTCACGCCCAGCACGGAGTCGTTGTCGTCCGCATTTCCGACGCATTCGAAACTCAATGATCAAATTCTCAACTATGGCTTGAAAGCATCTCATCTGGCAAAGGGTGCACGTCAGAAAAGCCAGTGACGAATGAACAAGCCCAAATAAAAAAAGAGCCGACGCACTGCATAGCAAGTGCAGTATCGAGCTCAGAAACGTTCGGTTAGGTACCGGATTTGCTCGAGTACCACGCTCACCTTTCATCCGAAATTTCGAAGAAGGAAAAAAAGAGCGTCCGCGTCATAGGCGGGTATAAAATTGAAAAGGATTTCAAGCTTTGGTGCACCTCGTATACTTGATTTCAGCAAGGAATTTTTAACCAATTTCAAGAGGCAATTAATGAACGGAATTGATGAAAAAGTAACATTCCACTTGACTACAATTAAAGTCAAAATTTGAATTCTGATGCGTTTTATTTTCGAAACATTTTAATTATCATTCTTTAAAAATGGAGTGCTCGTCTGGCTTGGAGATTTATTTTTATCCAAATTGTAGGTGGAAAAATTCGAGTGCTCACCTTTTTCGAGGGCGCGTCGTACTCGGGAAATATGGGTATTTACCCAGTGTCGTACCTAATCATTTTTATAAGTACTCGTCTTGCTGTCATCTCGAAAAAAAAGCGCACACGAAACAGCAGTCATCAAAATAATGAGTCGAAAAAAACAAAGGTCAAATTCAGTAAGTAACGTCGTTCAATTGTTTATCTCTTATATTTAAATGCATTTATGTGCATTGGTCTTTCGGAAGTTTCCACCCGCCTCTCGAATTATCAAGTACATTTGAAAAACAGTCCTCCAAATCGCGACCCTCATGAACTCGGGTCTGATTCAATATGTTTCGCCAGGAGATCCATGCTCGCATGTGCGCTTGCTTTTTTGAGGATTACTCTTTCGATACTAGATTTTTAAAGAAAGGGCGGGCATTTATTCCAAACTTTTTAGAAAGCGAAAGGTGGCTTGTTTCGCACCTGAGACTTGATCGGCACTTTCCTGGACCTTTTACAACGGAAACGGATCCGTGCCAATTAGTTGAACTCTCGTCGCGGAATGATTTATGACCAGATCCTCCTCGTTTCCGCATTCTCTGCAGAAAGCAGTTTCGACTCCACCTGGTCGAGACTTCTCGACAGGTAACAAAAAGGAAGTAAATTTTATCTCTCGGAATGTTGAAGTCAGATCAACGAGCAATAAACTTAAAAATAGTTCGGAATTGGAAATCAATTTCTGTTTTGTTTTCTGCATCATCCAATAATATTTCACATAAGAGGAGAACCTTTCAGGACCGATCGCAACAAAGGACAGATCGAAATAAACGGGAAGAGAAAAAATATATATAACAACTTGTTTTGATGATAATGCTACATTATGAAGAAATCGATTGACTATTTTATCACATGATACAAGTTCGTTTTACTGTTGAAACGCCGATTCTTGGGGAATTTTCCCTTACGAAGGGCAGAAGGACGGAGTTCGAAGTTCGGAAACCTATTGGAAACTTGATAATCATTCACGATAGAACATCACGCTCTGACGGCCTTAAAAAAAAATAAATTCTCTCTCAGAAATACATTAAGTTTTCAAGATGCAGGAAAAAGTTAGATTCCATTTATGTGAATTACATTTTTTCTTCCGATGTACTTGTCTAATCCCATTCGGAATTTGATCAATAGTGCATTCAATATTTTGGCCTGCATTTTGATTTCGAGAGAGAAATCGGAAACGCCGGTATAATTTTAATTTGAGTCGCTGGATTACCTCTGGTGTATTCATTATCTTCGTTAATTATCCAGATGAATGAACGAAATGTTTGCGAGAGTGTCCAAAATATTATGTCGGGTCATCGTTAAATAAACGAAATATCCGTTCATGTTTTGGACGATATCATGAAATATTTCAACATCCAAGCAAAGGTGCTTTGCCAATGCTCATCAGTGTGAATAATCGAAGTCCTGCTGTCATGTGAGTAAATAAGAAGAAAATGCACACCAAGAACGAACGATCATATTATTTTAAAAAATTTGTAGAAAATCCGACGAGCTCGACAAAGATTGGTCAGCAGATATTCAAATAAACAATTTTATCTCGGGGACAAGATGTTTTGCATGTTTAAATTAGAGCCTGGTGAGCATAAAATGTTCCAGGGTCCTCACCTTGGTTTAATGTCATGGTAATTCTTGCGCAATTCTCTTGGGCCCTACTTTTCGCGCCTTCTTTCGTAAGAAAGTACCGAGCAATTAATCAGATCCATTATTTTAATGCTGTTCAATTTTTCACTTGCTTGGGTGCAGGAGACGCCTGCGAGAACTCCATACGGCGGAGCACCAAGGGCTCCGCGGAGCACTGATTGTTAATCCCAGGAGTAATAGAGAGATGAAAAGAGGCTGGCTTTATTGGAATCGCTTCTTTGAGCAGGTGGATTTCAATAGATTCTGTCGTCTCTTTCACACGTAAAAGGTCTTGGGTTACAAGTACTGACGATCCTGGTGAGAGTGGGATGTTGAAAGCCTTATTCTTGCTGATGAATTGGCTCCCGGAATTCCCCGAGCCGACGAAGCAGGTTAGGAAGGGATTGATCAAGAACATGCGAATCACAGTCGACGGCGAGGAAGATGACGTCGACGTGAAAATTCGACAGCAGTCCTCGACGCGATTGGACCCCGGCCAACGCGTTAGCGCGATTTAAGCCGGTCTCTCCGGCATACGTTCCCCGGGAACGCAAAAGACGCGAAGGAATGGCGAGCAGATTTTCCACGGGGGAGAAGTTTATGCAGCCCGGCGGAAAAAATCGAGTCGAAAAAGAACGCGCATTATCACTACCCGCAAAAAAATGCAGAAAAAGAACCTATGGCTACGGGTTTCCTGGCAGAGAGAACAAGGGTGAGTGCGGGTCAAATTCACTGGCACTCCTGTTGATCCCGACGCCGGAAATCCCGAGGGAAGTCGTTAAAGCCGCAGGTTCACGCTCTGGATAGTCGCGCCGCTGTCGTCATTTGTCCGAATCTGCTTCATTTAATCCTCCGCATTTTCTCATCCTGCTGCTGTTTCGCTCTGAAAATTTTTGCTCTTTTTGTCTCGCTGTACTCCTTCAGTCGTACCCTTTCCCACACATGAGAAAAACTGCGGCCTGCATCAGGAAAAGAACCTATAGATTTCCTTGAAAATATTTTCAATGCATTTTTATTCACGTACGTTTATAACCTCCAGAGTCGACAATAGACTGTAGATATGAAACTGTGGTGCGCAAGTTTTAGCGAGAAACTGCTGTCTCTGGAAGGGCAAAACCAGCAATAATTTGAGAGGAAATCTCGTTCTCTGTTGTGAATTTTGTTCCATATAATATCATCGGGTACATGCGTAACGTATAAAACTGCGATGCTGCCTATATGTGAATAATTTGATCACACTCAACCCAGGCGCAACGCAGATCCATATTTTTCTCTTATACTCGATCTTATTTACAATAATGAATGAAGTAAAAAAAAACAATTCAAATGATTCCAGGATATTCTCAGTTTTCAGCAAACGTACCCGTCACATTTATTTGATGAAAATTTGAGTATTTTTCAGTGTATACTTCGAAATCATTGCCAAAAATCTGGGCGCAGCCTATGCTATCGTGTTGCCTACAAATTCGGAAATACTGTGAGGTATTATGTCCAGAAATTCGCATTTGAAAAATTGGAATCGAAATTGACGCTATAAACTGGTAGATTAGGAAGAAAGTCATTGAACTCGACTTATTTTGCCAATTAATAAACACTCGAAATGTGGGTACATTAAACTATTCATTTTGTTGAGCAAAGTATCCACAATCAAAAATACTGTATTCTTTCTTACCTTGTGAGATCGGTTGACTTGAATTACCGCATAAAATATTTCATTAGTTGCAATTTTATTCAAAAGCATGTCGAAATTTAATTTTTTAATATTTAAAAATAACGATATTAAAGTGTTTTGGTTTACAGTAGCGGTTCGAATAATACACATTTTCAGTTTCTCTTACTTTTTCTAGGATCAATTTCCGAAGCAGAGACATGATAATTTTATGAAGTTGAAAAAAGCGTTCATCGATATTTTTTCCTGGATTAGTTAAAAAAAATATACATTTCCGTTGTTCACACAAAAGCGCGGCAAATCCTCATTTCTGGCACCACTAGAAAAGCCCTACGATGTGTCCAATTCTAAGTGAAATTTTAGACGCCCGGGATCCTCGCAGGTGGTTTCTGGAAGGAAAAACAACTGGCAGGAGACCGAGAGAAAAGCTCGGATACCCTCAACTGAATCGAGCATGCTGTGCGGAAAGAAAAGATGCGGTGCGAAGATTTTGGCGGCCATCAAGCGCAAAAAAAAAAGGAAGACCAGAGGAGAGAAGAGGCAAAATAAAACGACAAGAGGGCAGGATTCCGAGTTCCTGCGGAATTCCGGAAAGTTCCTTTGGCGCACGTCGGCGGCAATACTACAGGAAGTAATTGCGAAGGTCTGTCGAGCTCGTCAGGCAAGCACGTCGTAAACCCCCGGCGAAGCTTCCCGCACCTGCACCACAAGAGGCATCGAACTCG